TATATAATATATAATATATAATATATAATGTATAATATATAATATATAATATATAATATATTATATATTATATATTATATATTATACATTATACATTATGCATTGTATATTATAAATTGCATATATGTTATATATTATACATTATATATTATATATTACATACCATATATTATATATTATATGTTAATTATATATTACACACTTCCATATTATATTATATTATATTATATTATATTATATTATATTATATTATATTATATTCACTTCTAAGCAAACTACACACCCATAATCCCAGTGCTATCAATCAATTTTTGAAGGCTTCTCCACGGCCTCAGATCAAATGGACTATTTTCTTGTGGGTCTGTGAATTTTAAATTTCAGCCCAGAAATTTAAAATTCTCAGCATCCAGGATTCCAACAGGGATCAGTGCTGATGGTGCTGCCTCAGTTCTGGATTACCACGTCAAGAAAAGGCAGCTTGCACTCAGCTTAAATCCAGCCAGCAGCCAGGGGAAAAAGCATTGTGGGAGAAGAAACGAGATGGAAATTCAAGCACCATGTGGCTTTCTTGAGGAAATGGATTTGTTCTTTGTGATTGAGAAAGGCGCAGTTGTTAATATTCCCTTTATTTGCCAACAGACGTGCCTTGCAGCGCCGTGTCTGTTACCAAGCTGTGACAGGCTGCCTGTTGTAAAGCGAGGTGCTTTGCATAATTAGTGTGAAGACGTGAACAGATGAGCACTAATTCTTAGAAGTTAATGATTGTCAATTATCTCCCCCTTTTTTTTCCCTGGATCTAGTCCAAGATTAGTGGAATATCAAGTACCTCGAGGTACAGTTCCTTAATTGGCCCAAGCACACTTTATTGCCAGCTGTCACCCCAAAAGGTGGCTTTGCTTTTTGACCTGCCTCAATCAGCAGTCAGGTCAGCTTGCTGCTGTTTGAAAGCATTATTTTCTTTTTAATTCCTGGGCTGGAGGTTGTTTGGATCCATAAGCTGATCTGACCTGACACATGGCTTGCAGATCGTTAGTGCAGCCAGAAAGGGGGTGAGGAGGCTGACACTGTCCCTTGCAGCACCAGGAGATTTTATCCTGCCTTAAACCCACAGAGAAATCCCAACTTCTGCTCAAAAATGGTGCAAAAATTCCCACAAAAAAAAAAAAAAAAAAAAAAAAAAAAAAAAAGTGGTTCAAGTGGTACAAAAATTCCCACCTTTTTCAACTTCTTACCTGCTCCAGAAGTTGCCTCTTAGATGCATAAATAACTTCCAGCTCTTGTCTTGCCCAAATCTTGTTGGAATCCAGGATTTTGGAGCTTCCTTAGGACCATGTTTCCAAACACACCTATATATTTTTTTTTTTTAGCAGCAGGTTATTTAGTTTTAACTCTGGTTATGTAGGTGGTGGATCCAGAGCCACAACTTCCATGCAGCATCCCAAGGCCCACAGGTTTGTGTGGAGGTTGTTTCTGTTTGAATTTGTGCTGCTGGAGCCAAATGAAAAGGAGTGCTTGTTTTGGAGATGGGAAAAGTCATGGATTTTTGTTCCCAGGACAGTCTTTTTGTTTTTGGCAGATGACTGTTTAATGTGAAATCCAAGAAAATGCCTTTATTTTTCCCCTCTCTGACTTTATACCCAGTTTAGCCCGTATTGTTTAAAAGCATGTTGTAAGAATTCTAATTATTCTCTTCCTATTTCTGAATGGCATCTTTCTTCAGGCACACAAGTCTTCTGTGTTTAGTGTCAGCCTTTGAATATAATGATTTATCCACACTTGAAATGACATTGAAAATTTTTCTGTGAAGGAGCTTTTGCAAAGAATTCTCTCATTCTCTCACTTCCTAAATAAGGCAAGGAAAAATATTCTGCTGAATGTCTGTTTAAAATTAAAAATGAAATATCTTTATTGGACGTAACATCTTACTGTGAAATAGTGAATGTATAATTTGCTCTGTGCAAATTACACATTTCATGTCAGGACACACAGCACTGACATCCAGATTTACCTGGCAGAAATGTTTTAGCAGGTTAATCTGAGATCTTTAAGTGTTTTTAAAGGCTGCACCAAGGTTATAATTTATTTGAAAAATAATGAAAGTAATTTGAGGAGAGTAGAATTGCTAACCTAAAAAGTTAAAAATAAGGAAGGAAATGCCCAACCTGTGAGGATTCTCCTCCCCCAATTCTTCTTCCCTTTTTCTACCCAGCACTTGAACTGGTCAGAAAATACTTTCCCAGAGCTCAAGAAGACAAAAACCTTATTTATTTTGTTTTTCTCTGCTCTGGTCTTCTTGCACAGGCTCATAGCACTACTTCTTTTAAATGATAAATGTGTTTTTTTGGGTCATTCTTGTGTGGAAGCCTTTGAAATTAAAATTTAAATATCTTAGGAATAGCTAACCTTGTTTCATAGGTAATGTTTTTTAATAAAATGGAAGAAGTCTTTCCCCATGAGTTTCCATAATTGGTCTTTATCAAATTGAGTTCTAACAATTTTTCTATAAGTGATCAGTACAGGGAGGGAAAAAATAGTGGGAAAATCAAGATGTGTATTGCTGCTCTGTTTATGATGCATAAGAAGTTCTAAAAATGTTACAGATCCTTAAAAACCTGGTTTTGTCTGGAGAATTAAATTTGCCTTCAGAGCAAAAGAATTGTTGCATCTTGTGTTTTAGGAGCTGAAGGAAAATCTTCTTGTGCCCTCAGCATTTTTCCTGTTGACTGTTTCTTTCCTCACTTGGAGCAGGAGCAGGAACATGCATCCTCTGATATGGAAAATGTTTTATTAAAAATCACTCAGGGAGCTGCTTGCTGTGTCAGTGCTGAAGTCCTTGGACAGGCTTTTTCTCCCAGTCCTTTAATTTGTCCTTCAGATCCTCTCAGAAATCATGGGAACAACTCCTTTGCAGGCAGGTCAAAAAGCATTTTGAGAAGGATTTCACTTATGGACAGCTTTATACAAAAGGTTGCTTTCTTGTTTTTGGTTTTTTTTTTCCACAGAGTCTCCAGCAATCCTGCAGCTGCTCCTCAAATAACTGTGGGCTTGTGTAATTTGTGTTGCTGTTTCCATACCAACAAATGAAATAAGTCCAATTTGTGCCCACAGTGAAGAGTCTGGGGATTTTTTTTTCTGCTCTCTATCTCATGATATGGGAAGTGTAAAAAGATGAGCTCTGGATAGCTTGGAGTGAATCATCTGTCAGCCAGCTGCTCTGGGCTCCTGTTTAATGATGGGATGGAAATTTGCCAGAATAAGATACAAAACCTTAATTTTGTATAGCTGTGAGATGCAGGTTTTGGTGAGGTTTGAAAGAACGAGTAATCAGTAGTTGTTTAAATGTGCAGCATAAAGTTCAGTGTGGATTGTCAACAAACATCTGATTGTACCTGATGAAGTCTTTGCTGTCATCAGTGGCTTTAATTTGTTTCCTTATCTAAGAGTGAATCAAAACATCCATCCATCCATCCATCCATCCATCCATCCATCCATCCATCCATCATCCATCCATCCATCCATCCATCCATCCATCCATCATCCATCCATCCATCCATCCATCCATCCATCCATCCATCCATCCATCATCCATCCATCATCCATCCATCCATCATCCATCCATCCATCCATCCATCATCCATCCATCCATCCATCCATCCATCCATCATCCATCCATCCATCCATCCATGCATCCATCATCCATCCATCCATCCATCCATCCATCCATCCATCCATCCATCCATCCATCCATCATCCATCCATCCAATATAAACTGAAATATTCCAGATAAAAAGAACAATTGAGGGATTCAGAACTGAAACATTTGACCTAAAAAGGGATAAAATTAATCTGGAGACTGCAGTGGCTTTGTGCTTCCCATGGAAGCATCTCCAAATGAAATGTTGCCTGTCCTTTATCACTGATGTTTGAATTTCACTTAGATTTGCCACAATGGAAACCTTTCACGTACATTTCTTTCAGAAAAAGTAGAGCATAATAATTGTGGTATTGCTGAAAAGACCTATTTGCTTTTTTGCTTGGCTAAAGTAATGCTGGAAATAGAAATATTTGACCTTACTTTATTGTTTGTTTGAACTGCTCATAAATTTAGCTCTGTTTGAGTGTTTGTGTGAGAGACATTTGTTTCCTGGAGCTGAACAGCTCATATAAACAAGTCTATAAACAAGAAATCCCATTCAGTAATATCAACAGTGAAATTTCTTGTCTTTTATCTGTATTTAAACTCCCAGAATGTTGCCTGGAAGCACAAATTGTGTTGCTCTCTGTGTGGCTGCTGTAGCTGAAAGATGCATATTGGGCAACTGAATTAAAATTTATGTAATGAACTATTCACTTTGATTATAAAAAATCTGTCTGTTGCAGATGGAATTTTTGCCTGGTTTAAAGATAAATATTGGACAGCTGAATTAAAATTTGTATAATAAATGATTAATTTTTATGGTAAACAATCTCAGCAGTACTTGGCATTGTTTAATTTCTCTTTAAAGTTTGAATTAATGATCTTGGAGGTCTTTTCCAACCATAATGATTCTCCTGCTGGTGCTGGAGGTGCCAAAACTTTTTCCCAAATTTTTTCCCAAACTTTTTCCCAAACTGTTGGGATATTGGTGCATCTGTGGTCCCTTCTGATGTTACTTTATTTTTTCTTTTCTGGTAGGAAAGGGAATTTCTGCTGGCCATGTGAGAGCAAATCTGAGCAGCAATTTTTGCCAGGTTGGAGATTAACAGGGTTGAAGGAATAGTTAAAATTCCTGTCTTCTCTCAGTGCTGTTGACTTCATCTTTTAGTGGGCAAAAATAATCATGAATTGTTTGATTTCAGGTCCATTTCTCAAGGAAAAAAACCCAACAAATTGAAGTGTGTGTCCATTTTACTTTCTGTAACAAAGAAAACAAAGCTGGGTCAGCTCTTCAGAGCCTCCCAGTTTGACATTTCTCACCAGTGACCTTGAGGACAAATTCTGTTTTGTTTTTTTTTTGCAGCTGCAGCCGCCTCCGAAATATTCAGACTATTTTGACACAGAGCAGCAAATCTCAGCCTGATGGAATCCTCTGCATTTTAGGTTAGTGTTACAATTTTTGTTCTCATTATGCTGATAAAGATACCACGAGTTTCAGAAAGTAAAAAATCATCTTGTTGCTGCAAGCCCCAGCATGGTTTCTCAGCTGATGTTACATTCTCTTCTCCCTAAACAATTCTTCATTTTATTTAGTAATTTTGGGCAAAGGATTTTAAACAGTGGCCTAAGAAAGCTGGAAAATGTTAAATGTTAAAAATTCATGTGGTTTCAGTGTTTTATTTCTTCTGGGATTGGGAGAAAAGGGCAGCAGGAAATAAAGGTGCACGTGCAAATGTGCTGTGGGAAAATATCAGGGATTTTGTATTGCTTTAATACCATTGCATTGATTCTTATTTCATATTATATACTCACTGTCAAGATCTTAAAGGAAAAATGCAATTATGATTGAAAACTTGAGTCCTTAGAGAAAAGGACTGAGGAGTAATTGTTTAAATAATATATTGCAGTTAAAGAGAAGAAATCTGATGTAGCCCTAGAGAAGCTCTGTGTAGGAAGTGATTCCACAGTCTGGTTTTTTTGGGTTTTATTCTGTTTTTTAATGATGCAGCTAGAGAACTTAAAGCTCATTTACTGGATCACAGCATAAAATTTATAAATAGATATATAGATGTCACCCTGTTCTTCTGAAGTGCCTCTAAGCCTTCTAATGTTTACAATTTTGTAATGGAATTTCTCAAGCACTTTTCATGTAAATAATGATTGTTTTGCATTCCTTTCTAGAAGAGGAGAGAATTGATGGACTGTTAGTTTGGCCAGTGTGGTTAGAGAGGTAGCAATTTCATCCTCCATGGTCACTTTTGGAATTCTATAAATATCAAGGTCCAGAAATAAATGTACCTTTTTTACCTTAAACATCTCAGCATTTGAGTGTCATTCATTTCGTATTATGACATATATATAATTATAGATATATAAAAATAGATATATATTAAATAGCTGATTTATAATAGATAATAATTTATAAAATTTATAAATATTAGTTTATAGTAGATAACATTCTTTTCTAGTGAGTGTTGACTGTACATGACCCTGCATTCTCTGGGGTAAGAGGTTAAGTCCCTGACTAAGTAGTAACTGTACAGCCAGAAGCTCTGTGAGGTCACTGTGTCAGCCTTGCAGTGAAACTTAATCATACAGGATAAACTCCTTGGGTTCTGCCTTTGCTGCTAATTTAATTCCATAAAACATGTTAACTGATGACTCTGCAGTATTTTTTAATTATTATTAACTCTGAGACTGCAGCAAGTCCCAGGTAAGGAACAGGCACTGAAAACATGGCCCAGCTTTAAGGAAAGCAGAGGAATTGCTGTGTGTAATCCTCAGTGTTGTGTGGAGGATTTAATTCTCTCCAGAAGAACATAACTCTTCATAAATAAGCACTTGTGGTATGGAAATATGGGAGGTGTGTTTTGTTGGGAAATTTGTGCTTTGCCCTGATCTCTCAGCACCCACAATGGGACACTTGTGTGCTCTGTGGCTCCTGTAGCCTGCAGAATTTCTGGCATAACTTCCATGAAACAGGCATGGCAGTGTTGTAAATGCATTAAATCTGTCATCAAACACGAGTTTCTGATGACAAAACCCATGTAGTTTTACATCCTCTTTCTGTGTGCAAAGTGGATTCTCACGACTGAGGTTTTTTACAGGCAGTACATGTTCTGTTTCACTTGGCTGCTTTTCATGGCCTGCAGTTAATGCAGCTCCCTCACCTCAACTTCAGTTTCAAACTGGGCTGGGAGATAAAACCAGAATAAACTTCCACAGCTTTACTTCAAATTCATTAATATTTGTACTGAAATTAAACCCAGAATTAGAGATCCCAGAGAGAGATGAGAACTGACCCGCTGTTGATACAAGTATTTAAATGGAGTTACAGCTGATTTTTAAAAGGAATTCTCTAATCTGATTTTGAAGGGGTTGCATGGTGACATTCCTGCATTCTTAGCTGGGGAGAAAAGGCCTCACAACTGACAGGAAAAAGGAATTTGGAGGTTGGCATGTCAAATGGCTTTAAAACATGTCCTGTCTCAGCTGAGTGTGTTGCTGCTCAAACTGATCTACTTAAATTATTCTGTAAATTATTTTCTATCATAGTGGTGTTTGTTGGTATCTTACATTTCAGCAGAGATTTTCAGCTCCTGGTTCAGTGATTTCTGAGATGTTCTGTGAGCAGGGGATGTCTGTAACTACTGCAGTTGTAGCTGCTCTGATCGTGGATTAAACTGTTTCACCATTCACCTCAGCTAGCTGAATTTTTACAAATATTGATATTTATTTTCTGTTCTCCTCAAAGAGTGTGGGGATAATTTCAAGGCTTTCCAGTATTTATTTTACTTTGGTTCTGTTCACATATTGCTTTTTTGGATTATAAATTATCTAGGTGATTTTTTTAGATTATATATATTATATAAATATATATAAGCTATATAATCGAAATATGTAATATATTATGTATAATTATAATATGATATAAAATATACAATTATATAATACTATAATATATTTTATATATTATAATTATAATTATAATATATATTATTATATATGTATAATTATAATGTTATAATTGAAATACATAATATATAAAATTATATATAAATACATTAGATAAAAAGATATATTAGAATATATAGTATATCTTATTATATATTTAATAAAAATATATGATATATAATTTTATAATTATAATATTAGAATATATAATTATTTTATAATTTTATAATTATATGTTATATATAATAATGATATAATTATGGTATATTATATATGGTATATTATATATTAAGTATAGTATCTGTTTAGATGATATACAATCTAAATACATAATATATAAAGTAGAATATAATATATATAATATATTTATCTAATATATTTATATAATATATATAATTTGTAATCTAAATAAATAATCTAGATTATTTATAATCTACAAAAGCAATATGTGAACAGAACCTAGAAACATAATGTTCACATAATCTTTTTTAGGTTATTTTTTCTCCATTATCTCCATCCCACACAGAGCTCTCCCTGCTGGGATTTCTCCCACATTCTGATGACCTTTAGCCCATCACTCTGATTATTCATCCCATTCCCTTTCCAAACAGAGAATTTTTTAGGGATTATTTTGCAGCAGTTCCAGAATTGTGTTGCTTTTGGGCCAATATCTGAAGGTGATTTGTCCATTCCCTCCGTCCTCTCCCTCCTGCTGTCCCCAGGTGCATTTTGCATCCCTGGGTATCTCACACCCCCTTGATTTTATCCAGCAGACAGATTTCCCCCTGCATTTGGCCAGAATGCTTTTGGGAAAAATGCATATTTTATGATTGGTTCTTTGTAAATATTAAAATGGTTACGTTGGAAAGTTATGTTGTATTAATCTCTTTTAAGTCGTGTGGTAAATAAAGTTTTTAGGCTACAGCATAATATTAAAATAGAAACTGTGTGATGTAAGAGACTTTTTTGTAACTGACCCAAGACATGGAAAAGACAACCAAGAAATTCTTCTCATTGTCCTCTCTGGATGGAGATACAAGAGGATTCCAAGGAAAGAATTAATGTCTACTTATTGGGAAGGCCCAGAGTCTGAGGAACTGAATTGATTTACAAGATGAAGAGGGGAAGTTGATAATAAACAAAAAAATCCTTAATTTGAAAGGAATATTTGCATCATGTATGAGATATATGAATATGCACAGGCTGTTGGTTTTAAGGGTTAATCCTTTGTTAGAGAGCTCTGCTTTTTGGGCCTTAGTGCCCAGGAAGCATCCAGAGATCCACAATTCTTTGCTTTTATTGTCCTTTATTATCCTAACTCTGACTGTCCAAATCTTTATTGCTCTAATTTTTTTAAATTACTATTTTTATAACTATTTTATTACTCTTAAACTTTTACAATTTTAAACCAAATGATTGACTTTTTTCACACTTTCTGCCAATTTAGCAGCCCGAATGGGCTCGTAGAGGAGCAGCTGAGCAGAGCAGGAGCCTCAGGCTGGGGAGCAGAGCAGGAGCCCCGGGCTCAGCCTGACTCAGGGTGTGCTCACAGCCCTGCCCCGGCCTGGGAGCAGGAGGGGGAGTTCCAAACTCCCAGCTCAGCTGGAGACAGGCGTCGGGCTTCCCTAATTAATGGCCTTGCCCATTGTTCTGGGGAGGACTCCTGATATGCTCTTATCTTGGTCATTGTTTCATTTCCTGTTTGTTTTCTGCTAGCTCTATCTGTTCCTTTAACTCCATATGTTGCTGTAGAATTGCGCTAAAGCTTCACTGTGAAAGCTGCTGTCTGGACAGGATACTTGAAAGACCCAAGGAAACCACAAATTCCAAATATTCTGCAGAATTCGTGGTTTTATGTTCAACAAATGCTTTCCCTTTGTAGCTGTCAGTGCTCTGCAAGCAATAATTCACCCATGTCCTCTATTATAAATTTGTCAGCTGTCCCCCTTCAAGATCTTTTGTTTTCTCTTCCCCTCCTTCTGTCATTAACTGAAAAAGCAGAAGTTTGACATTTGGCTTGGAAGATCTTCCCTACTCTAAGCTGCTGTACCCAGATAAAATCTCAAACTCTTCAAGTGATGGTGCCATCAACTTTTTTTTTTTTTTTTTTTTTAAGTGATGGCAGTTTCTCATTTTTCTTCTGGTCATCCAGAAATTAGAATCAGAGAATCATAGAATGGTTTAGATTGAAGAGACCTTAAAGATTATGTAGTTTCAGCTTGGTGCCATGTGCAGGGACACTTTCCACTATCCCAGGGTGCTCCAAGCCCTGTCCAACCTGGCCCTGGGCACTGCCAGGGATCCAGGGGCAGCCACAGCTGCTCTGGGCACCTGTGCCAGGGTTCAGCACCCTCACAGGGAACAATTCCTCCTCAATATCCCATCCATCCCTGCCCTCTGGTATTGGGAACCATTCCCTGTGTCCTGTCCCTCCATCCCTTGTCCCCAGTCCCTCTCCAGCTCTCCTGGAGCCCCTTTAGCACTGAAAGAGACTTTGAGATCTTTCTGGAACCTTTTCCAGCTCTTTCAGTCTGTCTGTGCCAGATTATTGCTCCTCTGAGCCCTCAGAAGGTGCCTGAGTTAGGCAGGTGATCAGTGGAGCAGATTATCCTCAGGAGATTGTGTGTGCTCACTTCCCAAGGCTGCAGCTGATTCCAGGGAGACTGATTCCATTGAAATGGGAGTTCCCTAAAACAATGGGACAGTTTCTTCCTGAAAGAAAGGAGTCTCCAATTGTTTGCAATTAAAATCCCACCTAGACACGAGGGCTTTGCAGCTATATTTGTATTTGTTTGTTAAGTCCCACTGAATTTCAGATTACCTTGGTGTGCCTGCTTTCATGGGGCTGAAAATGTAAATAAAATATAAAAATATAAATATAAATGAATGAGAGGTCCGAAACAGCAGGAGAATGAGGATTCAAAGATTATGGCTGGAAAAAAAAAAACTTTGAGGGCTGAGAAAGCTGGGACAGATGTGAGGCAGCTTTCCACCAAATCTCACCTTGGAATACGTGTGAGCTACCAAAGTTACTGAGCAAACAAAGAGTTTGTTAAGAGTTTTTGAGATGTTCAGTAGCTGGATGCTGACACATCATCTTGTTAGCACTCTAAAGCTGAAGCATAACATGAAAAAGGAGCATAAACAGCAGAACCTGAGGTTTGTTCCAGTTTTTGCCAAGTCCAGGTGACTCTTGGCTGGTTTGGTTTCCAGTGCTGAGGCTCAGATGTTCAGGCCATGTTATTACATTATCAATGCCCTGATCTCTCTTTTAGCAGTGCTAACAAATCCTATTTTGTTGGCAGCCATCCCACTGTATCCTAATGTAACAAATCCAAATTTGTTGGCAAGGATTCCATTGAATTCTAATATAACTTGGTAGGAAAAGTTGCCATTAGAGGAATTTTTTGGCAGTCAGGACTGGTGAGCTCTGTGAAATGTGGATGGCAAGGATGCTGCTTTATGTGCATTTTTATTTATTTGAAAAAACTGGGTTTTTTACAGCAGAATTATGACTGTGGCTGTCATCCAGAGGGATGAAGATTGATGAAAACAGTTTCTGAATCTGTGACCTCATTCCTTTCTTCTTGAATTCATCTTCTATCTCATCGTTCTCCAGATCTTCAGTTGTTTTCATTTAATTTTCCCAAGGACCAGGAAGGGTTTCCTTGGAAGCTTTTTGTGCCCCATATTTTTTGTCAGAACATCTTTTCACAATTTGTCAGAAGCCTGCAGTGGCTCTCTGGTGACTCAGGGATTGCTCTATAACACTGATAAGATAATGTTTAATCATGTATTCTAAAGCAGGAGATTTGGGTCACAGGATTAGTTTGTTAGGAAGCTTCAATCAAGAACATATTAATTAGAATGCATCCTGCATCCAGACAGATGTTTGAATTACTAGAAAAAACCAGAATTTTGAATGCAGAAAACAAGAGATTTAAATTTTTTAAGGAATACTCGTGGATTTGGGTTGAAAGGGGGATGTCAGCATGTGGCAGTGATCTTGCAAAATCTCCTTTTTCCCTACCCTGTTCTCTCAGTGAGTTCAGCTGGGGAGTTGAGTTCATACTCCTGCTTTAAAGTTTAATAAATTGAGGAAGAAAAGAAACTTTTCTGGTGTGCAGTGTGAGGACACATAGCAATTCTCCTGTGGTTTTGCTTTGCAGGGATAGACAGTCGATACAATGAAGGGTGCAGAGAGCTGGCAAATTATCTGCTCTTTGGTTTGTACAACCAGAACAACAATGACTTTGAAAGGACAGGTTTTCCTGAGGAAGTTCTGGATGGTGAGTAATGCTCTCAACATTTTTTACCTGTTCTGGACAGAAGATGAGCAGAAAAAGGGACATAAAAAAAATAAAGGTCATTAATCTCAAGTTGTCTCTATATGCCTGAAAATATCTTCTTAGAAACAATGCTGAAGGACTCATTTTTAAACATCAAAATATAAAACATATGAAATATATCTCAAATGTTGTAAGCTTACACAATTACAGTCCATTAGTTCAGTCACTGTGTGTATGTACATGTGGTTAATATTATTTGATCACACCTCTGCACTTCTAAACTTGAGCTCTTTTTTACTTCACCTCATTAACTCACCTTTGTCATACTGGGAATGTGGCCAATCCCTGTGATCACAGCTTGTTGTTCCTTTATTTGCATGAAACTTTTGGTTGTTGGCTGTGGTGTTGGTAGTTTTGACTTGAAGCAGCTCTGGTGTAACATCAGGCAGGAGCAGCTGGAGTTGAGAATTCTGGAAGTGCTCTGGGAAGGCTCATCCTGAGCCTCTTGGCTGCACAAAGAACAGGCTGATGCAAGTTCTGTGCAAGACTTGGGAATTACCCCCCAGTTGTCTGGAACAGTTACAAGTGCTTGGAACTCTCTGTGGCTGCCAACTGCTCCTTCTGCTGGTTTAAAAAAAATCAGGAATTGCATTCAGATAGCTGAACAATTTTCTTTTTTTAATGAGGTGCATAATGGAAAAAAAAAAAGTTTTCTGTTCAGTTTCTCTTGTGTGTGGAGTCTTGATGCTGGAATATTTGTTGCGCTTGTTGCAGATATAATCATATTAATAAAACCTGACAGTGTTCATCTGTACTGCAACCCTGTGAATTACAATCATCTTTTACCCTACGTGGCACACTGGAGGAACTTACATTTCCACTGTCTGACTGAAAATGAGGTAAGTGAAAAGTGAATGCAGACAAGATTTGCTAATGAACTTGTTAATGAACTGATCCTTAAAGTGAAACTTTAAAAAATATTCTTTCCAGAATCTTTTTTTTTTCTCTTTCTTCCTCAGCAGGGGAGTGATATGTTTGTACATCTGGGTATTAATCATTTGCTAAAGTGTGCAAGAAGAATATGTTGTCAATACTTTTATTTGTTGCAGTGTGAGGACAAATTGCTCCTCTCTCCCACTAATTGCTGTTGTTCTGACCTGAGTCAGTGATCTTTTAATGAGGAAAAAATGTGGGTTGTGAAAAATGCAAAATGTGAATCAGGTGTCATAGTCAGCGCTGAGATTTCCCACATCAAAGCAAAAGCAATGTTTGCATTGGCTGCCAGTAGAATATTAGGAAAAATGGGCTTAGTAAGTCCTTTAAAATCAAGAAACTTCATTATATATTTTAATTTTAACTATTAAATCTGTCTGTTAAGAACTGTTAATCTCACTTTCACTACATCCCATGACTGATGTGACTTTCATCTTGAACTTAAAGTATTCTAGAAAAAGTCCATTTATTGTTGTGAAGTATTTTTAGAGGAGTAAAAAATGAAAATACTCTTTGTCTGGGTGTAGAATGAGGACCTTTTCATTCCAATGGAGACTGGAAATGCTCCTTCCTCATTGAGTTCTGTATAGTTCCTTTTCTAAGTCAGAATTGTTCTGAATTCTGCAGGGAGTGAGTTTGGAGCCTGTTGTGGTGAGTGAAGCCAGTGGAAAAAAGGAGTGGGGAAATCAGGGAGAGAAACTTTTTGTTCTCTTAGTTTCCAGCTTGGAAGTGATGGGACTTACAATAGCCTGATTGTGTTTTTATGTGTCTGTGATGGGGCTTAGAATAGACTGATAGTGTTTTTATAGCTTAGATCACAGAATTGGGAAATAATTCAGATTACAAAGGACCTCTGGAGATCATCTTGTCCAACCTCCTGCTTCAGTGGTGAGATCAGATCAGATTTCTCAAGGTTTTTTTGCAGCTGGGTGTTGAAATCATCCAAGGATGACTGCAGAACCTCTGCTGCATTTTCCCACTGTCCTCCTAGTGAAAAAGTGTTTCCTTTTGTCGAACCTGATTGTTTTAAATGAATACTTTAGTCATGACCACTGTGGAGAGCCTGACTTCACCATCTCAGTAAAATTTTGGTGGGTTTGAGGTGCAGATATTGAGCAAGCCTGGGTCTCTCCTTCTGGGACAAGTGCTGATTTTGGTGACCCTCCACTGATCTTGCTCTGGTTTATAAGTACCTTGTCCATGGATCCCAAAATTTGGTGTGGATACAATTCCAGGAGTGCAGCAGAGAGGGATAATTCTTGTTAGGCTAGAACAGCTGAGCTCCAGGTTAAAACATGCCCCAGCAAAACCTGAAGCCTGGCTTCACAAGGCTTCTTTGTTGCCAAAATCCTTGCTGAAAGGGCAAATCTGATGCTGAGAGAACATTTGCACTTTGGAATCAGGAGCAGAGAGGTTCTTACCACACAGTTGCCAGTGCAGCTGCAATCTCAGCTATTGAATTTTAAGCTTCATCTGCTTATGGGCTTTGATATGATTTATTGTGGTAAAGAACCTTAATCACACAGTTCTGCCTTGAAAAAAATGATGTAACTGGCAAGGTGAACCATGTGCCTTGTTCTTTGTGGGAATGAGGGGAAAGGTTTGGTTTTGGAAGCTGAAAATACAGTTTTACTTCATTGCTGTTTGGTGTGAGTGAGCTGAGCACTTCCAGTCACATTTCCAATGTGTAAGAATTGCCAGTTTCCTAGATTACTGCTGGAAGTCAAACAAAACCTTGCTGTGTCAGGCTTTAAGTGCATCCTGTTTATAGGAGAATTGCCTGCAGTGGCTTTTAATCACTCATTTTAGTGATAGAAATAACTTGATAAAAATGGAACCAAAAAAGCACAAGAATTTTAGAAATAAATAAAGCAGTGATGTACCTGGGTCTGACAAAACACAGAGCTTCTCCTTCCTTTTTTCCATCTAGCTTGCTTTAACTAGACCACAGGAATTTAAGAGAATAACCTAATTATTGGGGAAAAAATCCCGTATTACTAAAAAAAAAAGCCCATGTTCAAAGTGACCAAATAGGATAAAATACAGAAATTTGCTGTAGTAAATTTTGGGGTGTCACAGTTGAACTGGCTGCAGGAGCAGATTGTGAGCAAGCCTTTAGCACCCTGCCAAAACCCAAGTTCTTGTTCCAATGGCATTTTTAAGTCTTGAGAAACTGGCGTTTGTTTGGGGCTTGGCTTTGAGCTGCAGCTTTGATCTGACTTCATGGATTGAAGGAGGAGCACACCACAGAGGAGCTGGGGCTGCAGCTTAAATTCAGGCTTGGCTTAAAAGAACTTGTCCTTAAAAGAAATGTGTTGGGTGTACCCTGAAGCTCACAAGAGGTTCATAATCATGTTATTTGCCTTGATAAGAGGCTCAGAGCACTGCACATAAAAATAAAATAAAATAAAATAAAATAACATAGGCAAAACACCTCTGCCTTCTGATCTTGCTCCAGAAAACAAGTGGCTCTTGAAGAAACCAGCAGGGCTAAACCTGTTGGTTCCAGACTTGCTGCTAAACTGCTTTTCAGCTCAAAGTCTGTGTGTTTGCAGCTTTGTGCTCTGTTAGAAAAATGACTTCAGTGTGATTTGTCTCTTCACTCTGGTTTTTATGCTTTTCTGAATATATTTGCTCTTCAGTCTGCTCAAGCCTTCAGACAGTGTCCATGAGGGGTTTTTCCTCTTCCTGCCTCCTTTTCCTGCAATTCACCTCTCCCTCAGACCTAAACTGGTTCTCTTTGCTAATCTGTGACCTGGGTCTTATTCTATCATTGATTTTCCTTGCTCAGTGTTGTTTAGCTGGTAATACAATACCTTATTTTCATTTTTTCCCCTCAGTGGCACGTTTTTGTGGCACATCAGTTGGTATCCTCACAATTACTTTTATCTTTCAAATCTGGATGTTGAAAGACTTGACTGAAAGCTGGAAATAAGCTCTATAATTATGCCTTCATATGTCATGATTAAAAATCTTGCTTTTAAGTTTGACTTTTTTTCAATTTTCCATTGGCTTGAGTCCATCCCTGCCATGATGGGATTTCCAAAATCCCAAAGCACCTCCCAAAAATGGGTGCTTGAGCTTCAGGAGGCTGTAGGTGATATTTTAATGCTTTTTATGCTGCATCTTCTCTTTCCTAACAATCAAATCAGGGCATGCCTAATCCAATTTGATTTGAAATTGCTTCTTTCAGTATGAAGATGAAGAAGCTGCAGAGGAATTCAAGATTTCCAGCTTTGTGGACATGGTCAGGGATTGCAGCCGCATTGGGATCCCCTACAGCTGCCAAGGTAGGGTGGGTGATGCTCAGAATTGTTGGTTTTTGGGTTTTTTTTTGGCCTATTTTTTGTTTTTTGGGGTTTGTCTTTTGTTAAGGTTGAGATTGAGGGTATTTGAGATGGTATTTCACGTTCAAACTTAGATTTTTAAAAAAAAATTATGTTACAGTTTCGTAAGTAGTGAGTTCTGTAGTATTTTACTAATAAGGTATAAAAGGCTAACTCTCTTACTTTACAAGGTCTTTCAAGGTTAAACTATCTAATTAAGAAATTATATTTGAATTATTTTTATTTTTAACTCAATAACTCATTTTTTGTGTTCTGCAATGTGGATTTTTTGTCTAATTACAAAATATTGCTGAAACTTATGAAGAAGGTGAGGAAGAACAGCTGGCTACTACTTTAAAACTTGTATCTTAGCTTAATATATTATTATATTTTAAAACTTTAAGTTTTCTACTTAAAGTTATACTTATATACTTAAACTTTGTGATATCACACGCTCAAATTACACACTTGTAATTACACACTTCATATTTATTATTATATTTTAAACTTTAAACTCTATGTTTTCTACTTTGTGATATTATTCACTCTTATTCAAATTGCACACTTATAATCTTAGTGCTGTTAATCAATTTTGGAAGCCTTCTCTACAGCCTTAGGTTAAATATAGGATTCTCTTGTGGGTCTGTGCTTTTCAAAACAAAAAGTTTAAAATTCTCAGCATCTACAGTTCCAACACAGAGTGTGCAAGTGTTTTTGCACCCTGCAGCTTCAGGGAATGAAGATTTCCTTGCTTTAGGAGACAAATAAGGATTAGTAAGTCTTTAGTTTCCTTTTAGCATCTTTTCCCTGAAGAGTTGAATTTCTTTCTGAGAGCTGGAAGCCCTCAGAGTTCATTTGGGGAGCAAATTCCCCCAGTGTGAGGCAGAGAAATGATTTGCATTCAGAGCAGTGTCTTGAGCTGCTACAGAACTTCTCTGTTCCCATGGGAGCTCCAGATAAATCCTTCTTTATGGAAGGGGAGAATAAACATTTCTTTATGCAAGCTTCCTTTTTTAGAACTGAAAAAAACTGCCCTGCAAAGCTTCCTGTTGGGATCTGGAGCCAGCCTTGAGCCTCAGCACTGTAATCTTGCATTCTTTTTTTATTCCTAATTCTTTATTGCTTCCCTTAGGGAAGGCTGATATGCTCTGACTGCCTGTAAAGTCATTAATGGAAGTGCCAGGAGGAAATTTTAATTTCCCTCAACTTAAAATTCTGATTAAATAGGGATGAAGAAGAAATTCCTTCCTGTGAGGGTGGTGAGACCCTGACACAGGGTGCCCAGAGAAGCTGTGGCTGCCCCTGGATCCCTGGAATTGGGTCCAGGGATCAGGATCAAGCCCCATCCAACCAAGGTCAGGTTGTGTCACTATAGGACACTGAAGAACACAAGCACACACTGCTGCTCTCAAGGTGAAGAAAAAGGGGAAGTTTATTTTCTGACTCCAACATTTATGGTTTTCCAAAAGTGCTAGTGGGTTGGAAGGTGACAGTGCCACCTCTCCAATGACACTGCACAAACCAACAGTCCATCAAATTTCTCTTCCTCTACAAAAGAATGCAAAACAATGAGTTATTTACAGAAAGTGTATGAGAAAGTTTGTTACAAGAGTGTAAACATCAGAAAGCTTAAAAAAATCTTAGAAAATCAGGGTGACAAAAAATCAGGCTTGGAGCACCCTGGGACAGTGGAAAGTGTCCCTGCCCATGGTAGGGGGGCAATGGGATGAATTTTAAGGATCTTTCCCATCCAAACCATTCTGGGATTCTGTGATGTTGTGTTTCAGTATTTCCTTAACACCCAGCATTTGATGAACTGGAGTAAGCAAAGCTCCCTGTTTATTATCTTGAATTTTAATTGTTAATCAGCTTGTAATGAAATTTGCCGAGAGATGTGGAATATCCTGAAAAAAAGAGAAAAATTTAAGGTGTAGAGGAGCTTCTAAAATTGCCGTCTGCACAAAAAATACTTTTCGCTTCAAGATTTTCAGCTGTACAAAAATGGGATTTTTCTACAACTGAATCTGTGAATCCCAAGGACTCAGGGAGAGCTGAAATGCCAGGATTTGTGAGGGAATGTTGCTGTGCTTGCCTTGCAGGCCACCTGCAGATATTTGACATGTTCATCGTGGAGAAGTGGCCGATCGTGCAGGCCTTCGCGCTCGAGGGGATCGGGGGCGACGGCTTCTTCACCATGAAATATGAAGTGAGTCCTTCCCTTGGTCACCTCCTTCCTGAGGCACAGCTTACTCATGAGATTGTCTTGTTTGCAGAGCACTTTTGGGGATGATCTAGTCCTGACTCACTGCTCAAGCGAGCTGCTAAATTGGATGGAGGTTTTTGTGATCTTGTAAAACTGTGGCAGGATGGGGAGCCTGTGCTGTGGCTGGGGTTCTGTTCTGGGTTACACAGCACTTTTTCCTGGATAAACCATTATTTGAACATTCTCCCCAGGCCTCTGCTGGGATTTAGAACTCCTTTTTGCTTTCCTTTTTTTTTGCTTTCCTTTTTTTGCTTTCCTTTTCTCTTACCTTTTTAACTTGCCTTTTTCCCTTGCCTTTTCCCTTTCCTCTTTCCTTTCCTCTTTCCCTTTTCCATTCCTTTTTCCTTTTCCCCTTTCCTTTCCCCCTTTCCCTTTCCCCCTTTCCCTTTCCCCTTTCCCCTTTCCCCTTTCCCCTTTCCCCTTTCTCTTTCCCCTTCCCCTTTCCTTTTCCCCGTTCCCTTTTCCTTTCCCCTTTCATTTCCCTTCTCCTTTTTCCTTTTCCCCTTTCATTTCCCTTCTCCTTTTTTCCTTTTCCCCTTTCATTTTCCTTTCCTTTCCCTTCCTTCTAGAGCCACCTCTACCTATAACCAATTTTTTTACCCCTAGATGGATTTTTTTACCCCTAATTTTTTAGATGGGTTCTAGATTTTCAAGAGCAGAGCAGGAGGAGCTGGTTAGTGACAAACACCTTGAGATGAGCTCAGAAAATAAGAAAAGACTATTCTTGGGTCCCTGGTTTTGACTGAAGAGATGCACCCCCTTCTCTCCCTGACATTTTATATTCCTGGGTCATCATACCCTGCTCAATAGGGCAACAATCACGATTTAATTGCTCCTATATTTAATAATGATTTAACTCTGAGCAACTTATGTCCTTGATTTGCCCATTTATTAATTATGCTCTGAACAGCATTTTCAGATGACAGCTTTGCATTTCTATGCTTGTTTGAAGCTTCTTTGCTTTCATTTTTTGAATCTCTGCCACAGCAATGCAGATGTCCCATTTTCTTATCACTCCTCCTTTTTTACAGCCACAATGGGCTTTTGTCTGACTCCTGATAGCTGGAAAACCTCCAGAGAATGAATAGTTCCATTTTTAAAGTCTCATCATATCTATAATTGTACATGCTGGCTCAGAAATATTCTCTGTGAGTTCCTGTGCCTTTCTGAGCCCTCTTTCCACTGGGTGAAAGATTTTAAGCTTTCTTCAGGTTTTTTTTCAGGTTTTATTTAATTCCATCACTGGTACTGTAACACCTTGTGGTATGAACCTGCCCAAAGCATTAAACACAGAGTGCAAACAGCTGAGATCTTTGGGGAGGGCAATCAATGACCCTTCTTGATGCATAAAATAAGTTAATGAAAATTTCACTGGCAATTCAGGAGCTGTTTGCATCTTTAAATGTCCTTTAATTACCCCAGTTCATTTCACAAATCTGTAGAGGCTCTGAAAAAAAATGTTCAGACAGGGTGGCACAGACAGAACCTCTCCTGTGTGATCCAAGGAGCTGATCCTGTCCTCAAGCACTCCTGGAGTGCTTCAAAAGGAGCAGGCAAAATTCCTGGACTCCTTTTTTGAGAGCAGTGATGTTGGCTCTGGCAGTCCAGGCAGCTCCAGCTGGAGTTCTTGTTTGCTTCCTCCTTGAAATCATGAGGGGATTTCAAATGGGAAGTGACATTCTTAACTTTGTGCATATTTGTGTGGTTCTGTGTCACTGAGGGGGGAGGAAACCAAGCTGGAAGTGCATTTGGGATCACTATAAATCATCTAGAAATTAATTCTTCTGCCATTATTAAAAGAGGAGGTTTTTGGTGCATTTTTAGCTCAGGCTTTCCCTCTGAGATTTTTCCTCTTCTATGTGTTCTCTAAGATTGGAATACAATTGAAGGATGATAATTCAGGATTTTTTCCCAGCCTTTTAAAGCAGTTCCTCTTTTACTGGAGAAATCAGAGTTGTTCATGAGCTGTAATTTAGAAAATTTCCTGTATTTATAAGAATGGAATTGGAAGTGAAGTCTGTGAAATCATTATTACATGAATACCTGTAAAGCAGAGGGTTAAGAAAATTCCGGCCAGTGTTGCATTTTTAACTGGGTGGGTGATGGGGAGTAAATGCAGAATTATTCAGATACAAATGTCCCTTAAGAATATATTTTTAAATATTGTTCCCCATATGCATCTCTCATATGCATCATCTGTAATTTAGAAAATTTCCTGTATTTATAGGAATGGAATGGAAATGAGGTCTGGGAAATCATTATTGCATGAGTACCTGGAATAACTGTAAAGAAAACTGGTTAAGAAAATTCCAGCCAATGTTGCATTTTTAACTGAGTGGGTGATGGGGAAATGCAGAATTATTCAGATGCAAATGTCCCTTAAGAATATATTTTTAAATATTGTTCCCCATATGCATCTCTCATATGCATCATCTGTAATTTAGAAAATTTCCTGTATTTATAGGAATGGAATGGAAGGGGAAATCATTATTGCATGAGTACCTGGAATAACTGTAAAGAAAACTGATTAATAAAATTCCAGCCAGTGTTGCATTTTTAACTGAGTGGGTGATTCTGCATTTTGTAAATGCAGAATCATTCAGATACAAGTGTCCCTTTTAGAATTTAATTTTAAATATTGTTCTCCACATGCATTATCTGTAATTTAGAAAATTTCCTGTATTTATAGGAACGGAATGGAAGGGGAACTTATTATTGCATGAATACCTGGAATAACTGTAAAGAAAACAGGTTAAGAAAATTCCAGCCAGTGTTGCATTTTTAACTGAGTGGGTGATGGGGAAATGCAGAATTATTCAGATACAAATGTCCCTTAAGAATATATTTTTAAATATTGCTCTCCATGAGCATCATCCTGCTACTTGGAAGAAAGTTAAACTGTCTGAGCCTAAATTTACATCAGCTTGGAGCAAGTTTTGGCTGATGTTCAGGATGACTAAACTTGGAGTTGGCTCTTGGCTGTCTGAACTCAGAAAACTCATCTTGCCCTTTTGCCTGCACCAGCTCATGCAGTTCTTTGCTATGAAATTGAAAAACATTGTGAAATGATTTGTTTGGAGGATGCAGAGAAAGCTTTGCACAGAGTTCAGACTCTCGCTGGTTCAGGTCTTTTGTAACAGAGTGGAAATATTTGTGAAATCAGAGTGGAATTATCTGTGAAATCAGAGTTAAGGAGCACTGTTAGACAGGGCACTGTTCTCCAATTTTGGCTCAGCTTAAACCTGGGTCTGTGGCCTTCTTTGTGGTGTTTTTCACAGAAATGTGTTTAAAATCTCTTTCAGTTAATGGATGTCAGTGCTGATTTATGGAAAACCTACAGCAAAATGGATCCTGTGTCCTTGGAGGATTTGCTTTTTGAGGTAATGCAGGTGAAATGTTCTGCCTCAGCTGCTGCTTGGTGTAACCACAGAGTAAAAGTTTGATTTTGTTTGGTTTTAATTAAATTTATGGTCTTGATTTGGCTCTGCCTGCTGTTGCTTGATTTATTCCTTAAATCTACCACAAACTCTGCAAAACACTAAAATAACTTGTCTTGCTTTCCTTGAATTTATTGTCTGAAAACCTTCTAAAAATTTCCCTTCATGTCATTAAACCATATACAAAATACATAAAGTTGCTGTGCTTTTGTGTGTTAAGGGTTAAAAAAAATCCCCTTTAACACACAACCTTCTTCCAGGAGAAAAAAAAAGCATTTTTCAAATGTTTTGTAGCTGCTTTAAGTGGGGAACAGTGACACTCAGTGGCTGCTCTGGTGCTTTGGGAAATACAAACTGAGGGAAGGGATTTCCACATTTATGCCATGCTCTGATCTCAGTGCTAGAGGAGAAAGCATTGTATAAATATTAGTATTTGTAATTATAATTTATATTTATAATTTATTTATATTAAAATTTAGATTTATTATAATTTATTATAATTACTATAATTATTAAAATTTATTTATATCTATAATTTATTAAATTAGTATTTATGATTTCATAGTATATATAATTTCATAATTCTTGGTATATATTAATTTTTGATCTGTTTCTAGCTTGATAGCAATTTAATATGTACAAAATTTAGCAGTAATTATCCTTCATTAATAAAATATTGGTAGTTCACACCATTTTGGTTGCTCAATCAACTGCTGTAATGAAAATTAAAGTATCATAGAATTTTTACAAGGCTTTCAGTTTAAGTAATCACTCTCTGATATTTCACTTCCCCTCTCTGTGTGGAAGTGAGATTAATGTTTGAGACTTGTCCTACACTCTGAGCAGACCTATGTATTATAATTTGATGTTTTCAACCTGAAAATTGTTGCTAAATTGACTTAAATTTTCTGAAAACAATAAACGTAAACCGCACACCCACAAAAAGACACCCTAAAATCCAGCAGAATGTCCTTATCTTCTAAAATATAGTTATTTTCTTGAGCTTATTGTTTCATTGGGCAGTGAAATATTCCAGTGAAATATTCCACCTTTGCCTTCATTTCTCTTGAAGTAATGTCAAATATTTTCCTTGTAGGATCTAAAGATTTTTGAACACCAGTGGACCAACTTTTTTGCTAATTTTGACACTGAAATTCCCTTCATTCTGGAACTCTCAGAATCTCAGGCTGGGGAGGTAAGTCTGCTTCAGCAATCCTCCAGTATCCATGCAGAAAGAATAATTATTCAGCATGAATTTGGGTTTTTTTTTCCCTATCCCATCTCACTTTTCATGTTTGAGGGTTAAAACCACATAATTTGAATTTTTTAAAGTCACCACCCACCTGAAAAATCCATGGTATGAGGGCTTAGGACTGCAGGGGTAATTCAGTCAAGTGTTTGCTCACTGATAATTCAATTTCCACCTGCACTGGAGATATTTGTAGGTAGATTTAACTTGCTTTGGATGGAATCTGGTTTGTGCAGGACTTAACAAGTTGAATTTGCTCATCTCAAATCTCAAACAAAACTGAGGGGGTGACGCAGAGCATGGGAGAAAACAGCACAGCATTTCTGGGGGGGGCTGTTACTTTTTTGATGCATTTTGTTGCTTTTTGTGGATGCATTTTGTTGCTTTTTTGATACATTTTGAAGCCTTTTGATACATTTTGAAGCATTTTGATGTTATTTGAAGCATTTTGTTGTTTCATCTGGGATGGTAGAAGGTGTGGCAGAGCGTTGGAGCTAAATGGGCTTTAAGGTCCCTCTCAACCTAAATTATTTAATGATTTAATGAAATGAGAGATTTAGTGGTGTTTGTGTTTATTTGTGGAGGTTGGAAGCATTTTCTGAGGGTTCAGGAGTTTTCTCTGAGAAAGCTGATTCAGGTTTAATTAACAAGAGAATATTTCACACTTCTGTCCATGTACTTCTTCATAATTTTTATTCATTTTCAATTCTTCCCAGCCCTTCAGAAGTTATTTCAGCCATGGCATGATCTCAAGCCATATAACAGATAACAGGTAATTATTACTTACTACTACTACTACTACTACTACTACTACTACTACTACTATTATTATTATTATTATTATTAATTACTCCTCATTATCATTATATTAATATATTATATACTATATACTATATACTACATACTACATACTACACACTATATAATATATAATATATAATACATAATATATAATATATAATATATAATATATAATATATATTATATAATATACAATATATAATATATATTATATAATATATAATATATAATATATTAAATATAATATAATATATAATATATAATGATGATGATATATGATAATGATATATATTATATATTATATATTATATGTTATATATATATGTTATATATTATATATTATATGTTATATAGTATATGTTATATGTTATAATATTATATTAATTATTATTACTCATTATTATTATTACTAATTACAGTAGTGATCTGGTGTACTACTACCTCAATATTTTATTTCCACATCCCTGATGCCGTAATGTTTAAAATTCTTTTTGATATCACCTCAGTAGATCAAATCTCATACTGAAAAAAGCTGGTGCAAATTCCTTCATGTCCTGGAAGGATAAGCTGAATTTTCCCAGGGTTTAATGCTGAATTTTTACCTATACCATGAATTTTGTTCATTATGACCAGTTCCTTCCTTGTTCCCTCCCTGGAAAAGGTTGGATGGGGCTTGGAACAACCTGGGATAGTGGAAGGTTGGAATGAGAGGATTTTTAAGGTTCCTTCCAACCCAAACCATTCTGTGACTTTATGAGAGACTTTTAACCAAAAATTGTTGTTTTGCTGAAGGTTCTGTTGCAAAATCCACGTTCTGCTGTTGTGAGCTAATCAAGGTTTGTTTAGTAATTCAATCTCTCTGCACATTCTCCTCTATTTGGAGTAAACCAGTGGAGTTTAATGTCCTTTATTTCTGGCAGCATCCTCTGGTGTTTGCTTTGCATTAGAGAAAAGAAAATCTTTGACCTCTCCAGCTGAGTCTTGGGCCCAAAGCAAGAACTAAACCCAAAATAGTTTTGTTTGTTTCCAACCCAATCATTTCAGGGCTTTTCAAGATAGTGAATTTTAAACTAAGCAGCTTTTCAAGATAAAAGAATATTCTAAGAGCATTTGGGAACAACGTTGAGATAAGTTCATTGTATTTGAAAGAAATTATCATTTTATAAATGCAAGAAGATTTTTTTTTTTTAACTTGTTCCTTTCACTGTGAAACTTTAGTAATTTTTTAAAATTATTATAATGGGTAATTCAGCAATTGAAAGCTTTGATTTCATTTGTTGGTGAAATTTATGCAAGTATTTTGGTGTTGATTCCCTGTGTCCTCCTCAGCCCGAGCAGGCAGCCCTTTGTCCTGTTTGGCAGCCACTCCACAAAGGAGAACTTGAACACTGGGAACTTTAATTTTCCATCTGAAGGGCATCTGGTCCGAAACACTGGCCCTGGTGGAAGCACTGCCAAGCACATGGTAAGGCTTTGGAGAAGTTATCTGAGATTTTGAACTATATTCTCTTTTTCTTTGTATATTTTTTGTGCTTGTCTTTCATGAGTTAAAAGCCTAATTCTTCTTAACATAAAGTACCTTAGCAATTCATCAGGTTAAGGAACAAATGTGATTTTTCTGCTCTTTCCAAGTGGAACCATACTGGATTCTTAATCAGGGGCTGCTGCATGAGTTAAAATAATTTATACTCTGGAAAAAGGCAAGTTTTGATGTAAGTGGGTGGGGGAAAGGGAAATGCTCTTTGTGTCCTGGCCACAAAGTGAAAACTTTCTGTGATACACTTAACTGTGACCCACAGATTCTATTTTAATCACATTTATTTAGCCATCTCTTTAAAAAGAAACAAAAAGCCACATTTTCTGATAACACCTTTGTGACTAAACCTGAAATACCTCCACATATCCAAATTCCACTGTGTGCTTCAACAACTAATGACAAAACTCTGAAAAAACTTTCATAAAATTCCAGGACTGTTCAGATGAAGTTGCAAAGCTTAACTTATTTCCACTTCCAATTAAAAGCTGGGATGTTAAACATGATTAGAAGTTTCTGTTTCCAAGTAAAAGCTGGGTTGTTAAACATGATTAACTTATTTCCACTTCTCAGTAAAAGCTGGGATGTTAAATGTTATCAACTTGTTTCCATTTCCAAGTAAAAGCTGGGTTGTTAAAGATTATGAACTTATTTCCACTTCCCAGTAAAAGTTGGGTTGTTAAACATGCTTTTACTTGTTTTGTTAAACTTTTGCTTTTACTTTTACATTTCCCAGTGAAAGCTGGGTTGTTAAACATGGTTAACTTGTTTCCACTTCCCAGTGAAAGTTGAGTTGTTAAACGGGATTAACTTGTTTCCATTTCCCAGTAAAATTTGGGTTATTAAAGATGATTAACTTGTTTCCCTTTCTAACTAAAAGCTAGGATGTTAAACGTGATTAACTTGTTTCTATTTCCAAGTAAAATCTGAGATGTTAAAGATGGTTAACTTCTTTCTATTTCCAAGTAAAAGCTGGGATGTTAAAGATGATTAACTTGTTTCCATGTCCAAGTAAAAGCTGGGTTGTTAAAGATTATTAACTTGTTTCAATTTCCCAGTAAAAGCTGGATTTTTAAAGATGATTAACTTGTTTCCATGTCCAAGTAAAAGCTGGATTTTTAAAGATGATTAACTTGTTTCCATTTCCCAGTAAAAGCTGGGTGGTTAAACATGTGCTGAGGTCCATCACCCCAGGGATTTGGGATCCTCTGGCTGGGTGGCTCCAGAAGGCAACTTGGCAGCGAAGGAGGAGAGAGGTAGAGTGTGGAGAGAGCTCCCTGCTGCCTCCAGGGGCTCTGGGAGTGCTGTGAGCCCTGAGCAGGTGGATGTGAGAGCATGAGTGAGCCCATGAGTTGATGATTTGTCAGCATTTCATGTGCAGCTGCCTCAGGGATGGATGGACGTGGGGCACAAATCACGTGTGCAGAGCCTGAGAAAAGAGTGATTTTGCATCTTGGTGAAATCTCATCCTCCATTTGCTGCTCTTAACATTATTTCTGTGAAAACACTTTCGATTGTGTCTTTCCTTCCCTTGTTAACAATAAGATACCTTTGAAAATGCAAGTACTGTGTTATTGTGATGTACTTGCTCCATCTGTTGTCCTCAGATTCTGATGCTGTTCTTAAAAAGGTGGTTTATTTACAGGTACAGGTGATACTGTTTTAATAGGGTGTCATGAAAATAGTAAATAAGACCAGCCTAGTTATGGGAACCTGACCCACTTTCCTCTTCATGAAAAGAGCAGTTGGCATAGGAAATTGAAAACACAAGTCAGAGCTCATCTCCTTTCCAAAGTCTTTCAACCATTCAGGTCAAGTCAAAAGTGAAATAGACCTTTGAAAACGTAAGTTGCTTTTTCACAATCCAGTTCTGTGTTGTAAACTTCTGTAGTCTGTCAGTGCTTAGAAGACTTAAGGGGAACGTAGTTAATTGTTAATTATTGCACCACTTTGTTTTACTGATGTTCTTTGTATCTCATTAATACTGACTGCTAGGTAGTGCAGTGTGTGTCTCCAAAGGGACCTCTGGCTTGTTCAAGGACCTATTTTTTTGGAGCCACTCACATTCCTTTCCTGGGTAAGTGCATGGAATACACCAAGGCAGTTATTACCTCTGATTCCATGAAAATTTGTAGCAATTAAAGGCTTTGCTTCCTTTCTAAGTGGTGGATTCTGTATCCAGTGCATGAAATCATAGCAGATTTTGTGGGGAAAATCTGTCAGATCTGAGTGTTGAACATAAAATCTGTCACATCTCAGTGTGCAGACTCTTTTTAAAGCATTAAACAAATATATAGGTTCATATTCCATATGGATTTATAAAAAAACACCAAGGCAGTTATTACCTGTGATTCCATGAAAATTTGTAGCAATTAAAAGCTTTGCTTCCTTTCTAAGTGGTGGATTCTGTATCCAGTGCATGAAATCATAGCAGATTTTGTGGGGAAAACTTGTCAGATCTGAGTGTTTGACGAAGTGAAGGGAGACGACCATCTGATTGATGAGCATCGAACTCCGATTTATTGATTCACCAGGCACTTTTTATAACAGTGTTAATTAAGCTCATACATATTGCAAAACCCGAGCTCATCATAGGCTACAGATTAAACATTGATCCCTCCTTTTGTTTTCAATACCTGTGGTTTGTTATTGAAACCAAGATTTGTGTTCTCACCCTGATATGAATGGTTCTCAAAACCTCCATGTCTGTTACTTTTACTTTCCCAAAACAGCCAAAGATAGAATGTTTACCTGTTATGAGAAAACTGCCTGAGAACCCTGCTGTTTATAAAAATGTGCCTGAGAACCTAGATATTTACAGAAACAGGCTTGGGAACTGCTGCTTACAGCTACCTTTTACTTTTCCATCACCTGTATATTTTCATGGCCTCTTTCTTTGAGCCATGTTTGAACCAAGCTCTCCACAAGTGTTGAACATAAAATCTGTCACATCTCAGTGTGCAGACTCTTTTTAAAGCATTAAACAAATATATAGGTTCATATTCTGCATGGATTTATAAAAAAACACCAAGGCAGTTATTACCTGCGATTCCATGAAAATTTGTCGCAATTAAAGGCTTTGCTTCCTTTCTAAGTGGTGGATTCTGTAGCCAGTGCATGAAATCATAGCAGATTTTGTGGGGAAAATCTGTCAGATCTGAGTGTTGAACATAAAATCTGTCACATCTCAGTGTGCAGAATCTTTTTAAAGCATTAACCAAATATTGAAGTCCATGTTCCATATGGATTTATAAAAAAAACAGTCTCCAAAATACATAATTCAAACCGGGAGTTGTCAAGTAACTGAGGATTTTTAGAAGGATGAAGGAAATTCTTTCACTTCCATCTTTTATCCTCAGTGTAATGAGTTACAGTAGCTGTATTCCTAAATAAAAACAGGCCATGTACAATTTTTAAGAAACATTTTTTAATGTATTTTAAATGGCTGGAAAAGTCCATGGATGAAGTTAGTCGTTAGGGCTTTCTTGAAAAAAAAAAGATTATAATTTATAAAATATATTTTATATGTAACATATATTTCATATTTTATATATATATATATATATATATATAAAAATATTATCTATATATAATATATATGTTATAGATATATATAATGTAAATATATAATGTAATATATATTTTATATATAATATATAGAAATATATAATATATAAAAGATATAAAATTATATAAATATATAAATATATAATAAAATATAAATATATAAAAATATATTATATATAATATATACATAATATATATATAAATATATAATATATAAATATATAATATAATATAATATAATATAATATAATATAATATAATATAATATAATATAATTCTGGGGTCAGAACAGCTGAAGAGGGGATGGTTGGAAAATTGGAATTACAGCCTGTGTTTGCCCTAGTAGTATAAAATACTGGATAAATTCCATGTAAGATGTGAAGCAGAAATGTTCTCAGAGTGCTTAAACCAAACCTTTTAAATTATTATTTTTGTTTTATTGTTTTTGTTTTAATACAGGAAATGACAATGAGATCCACAAGCAAGCTGAGCAAGTGTAAGCTGCCAATTTTTTTTATTATTCCCTAACTCTTCTCTCTTTCTACCTCGTGGCAGTAGGTGAAAGCTGCTTTTAGTGGCTGTTGGCATTTGCAGGGACATTTTTATTCAGAATAATGTGCATAGGACAGGGTTGCAAAGGCAAAATGCATGTGGGGAGTTTCAGTAGGTACATGGGGAGTTGTTAGGAAAGGAAATATTAATAAATTTTGCTCAAATTGTAGTAAAAAATTAATCTTGAATAAATTTTAAAGATACTTTGTGTCAACCAAGGGGAGAAAGTCTCTCACACTGTAGCATCTTGCACATAGAGGAAAAATAAAAGAAAAGTAATTTTCTGACCAGTTTCATTAACAATGTGGAAGATTTCTGATGCTCAGTGAAAATGCCAACAAGAGAACACTCAAACCTGTGAAGAAATTCACTGTGTTCAAGTTAGACCAAACTTAATTTTTCCTAAAATTTGGGAAGCTGCAAAGCTTCTGCACATTTTAACCTTCTCAAAATCCCACTTTGTTTATCCATGTTGATGTCCACTTTTGTGCATGTTGTAGATCCCTGTCCAGCTTGGAGAACACAATAGAAAATCTGCTTTGGTTCTGCTCTCTCTCTTGATAAATCAGATTTTTCCTTAGAGATTTTTGTCCTCCTTATTAGTTGGGATCATTTTAGGAGCCTGTTTTTGCTTCTGCAAAACTGCATGACCTGGTAGCAAGATACTAAAAATATTAAATATGTGTCAGTGCTGTCACACTAAATACTGTTGATTCTTGTTAATGGTGAGACATAAAAATGGAATTACTGCACTGAGCAGCAGAATTTCCTTTTTTTAAGAGAAAACTGAACTCCAACAAGTGTTTTTCTTGCATCTACATACTACTGTAACATTTTTTGTCCTCCTTCAAAAATCCCTTTTACTAAATACATTTTAATCAAGATGAGTGGAGAAGCTCTAAACAAAGCAGGGGTTGATAAAGGCAGTAATTTAAAAATAATATATTTTTTCTTGGAAGCATCCCTGTATTGCTTCAAATAATCTAATTTCAACAACAGTAGTATAATTGACTTTTTTGGCAAACCTGAACTCATGATTTTCTATTTAGTTTGGACTTGTCAATATTTTATAAAATAAAAATAAAAATAAAACGTATTTTATGAACACTATTCATTCCAAATTTGGCTGTACTGATTTCCTGGAGTGTATAAACCAACCCTGAAAATTGAATGATAAACTGGGATAAATTTTTTTGGTTTTATTTTTATTTTAAGACAAGGCTTCAAAAGCAACAAAAAAGAAATCTTGTGCTGATTTTTTTGGTTTCTTTTTTCACTGCTAACTTTAAAGTGTTAAAATGGGAAGAAGAGTAAGACAAAGGACACCTCACTGAGGTGTTTTCTTGCAAATGTATATGTGGATTTTAGGGAAAATAGGAATGGTTACAAAGTCTGGAAAAATTACAATATAAAGGAATTACATTGCTTTAATGCAGTGCAAACATGCTAAGTGCATATGAAAGCACAAGAAATTACAATCCAGAAACATGAAAAAATAGTGAAAAAGCTGAATTTTAAAGTCCCTTGCTAATGTTGGGGATGATCAAAGCCAAACTTTGGTGCATTTTGAGGTTCCTTCATTTTTGAGATCTTCAGATGCTTTTTTTTCCATCCTTCAGGAATGCTTTGCATTTGGCTTAAATGCTGTATTCTCCTCTTTCCTCCCCCTCTTCCCTCCCTCAATATTGGCAGTAGAGTCATGAGAAAATTTAAAATTTAGGGAGTAATTTTATCGATCTGCTCATTTTTATTATTGTAATTTAGCAGGAAAACAGAGGCTGATGTTCCTTGGTTGGGTTTTTCCCCAGTGGTTGTGGAGCTGTAAATGTCTCAACAGCTGAAATTCACTCCTGGCTTCTCCTGGCTTTGATTTATTTCTGTACCATTTTCTCAGTCCCCTTTTAAGAAAGGAATTGGACTAAGCTGGGATGGAGATTTCATGGAATTGTGGAATGGTTTGGGTTGGAAAAGATCTTTAAAGATCATCTCATTCAAATATTCTGCCGGGAGAGGGAGGGACAGCAGGGACACCTTCCACTATCCCAAGTGGCTCCAAGCCTTGGACACTTCCAGGTGGCCTTGGACACTTCCAGGTGGCCTTGGACACTTCCAGGGGTATTGAAGGCGAAGGGAGACGACCCATCCTTGTTGATCAGCATCGAACTCCAATTTATTGATCTCACTCACACACTTTTATAGTGGTGTTAATTAAGCTCATGCATATTGCAAAATCTGAGCTCATCGTAGGTCACAGATTACACATTAACCCTTCCTTTTGTTTTCAATACCTGTGGTTTGTTATTGAATCCAAGATTTGTGTTCTCACCCTGATATGAAAGTTCTCAAGGCCTCCATGTTTGTCAACTTTTGCTTTCCCAAAACTTATCCAAGGACAAGATATTTACTTGTTATTAAAAACAACCTGAGAACTTCTGCTGTTTACATAAATGTGCCTGAGAACTTTTGTTGTTTAGAGAAACAGGCTTTGCGAATTTGCTCCTCACAGCTGCCTTTTACTTTTCCATCAGCTGTATATGATTATGGCATGTCTGAACAAAACTCTATAAGCCATTTCTGAGCAAAATTCTCCAACACAGGGGTGCAGGGACAGCCCCAGCTTCTCTGGGAATTCCATCCCAGGGCTTCCAAACCCTCACAGGGAACAATTCCCTCCCATGATCCCATCCATCCCTCCCCCTGTCCATGTGAAGCCATTCCCTCTGTCACTCCAGACCCTGCATTTAGGATGTGATTCTGAAACCCAACTGCAGCAAAAGCAACAATAAATCAGATTTTTTATTCCTGACTGACAAAAGCACCAGACACATTTATATCAAGAGTTATTTCCCTAAAATATCCTGTAATTTGAGCAATTTCCTCGCTCTAATTTCATTTTCTTAAACAGAAAGCTTAACTATAAAACTACTTCACTTATTCCAACAAAGATCCCTTCCTTATTATTAAGGGAGTTGTGCAATGAGAGGAAAAAATGCTCCTTTAAAGAGAGGAGGAAGAAAACTCTGCCTGTCCAGTAAATGTTGTGTTTGTATTTCTCTTCAGTACGCTGTTGTCGCAAATATATTCTGCTGTTGTAGAGGCTGTGCTTGCTGGCATTGAGTGCTATGCTAAAACTTCCACTGAATCCAAGGTAAATCAAGTTGGTAAATGAAATTTAATTGTTCTCTCTCTGTAATTGTTGATTTGGATTGCTTGCAGTGTGAGATTTACGTGCAAACCAAAAAGAAAACCAAAAGAAATTCTGTGTTTCGCTCGATGGAATAACACGAGGTTCATGCCCTGCCCTCCAAGCAGGCTCTGAATTCTGTTTAAAAAAAAAAAATAAAATAAAAGAGGAATTTCAGAGTGTGTCTAATTTTACCCATCTCCAGTTGGTTTTCCATCTTATGAATTTTCCTGACCTCATCGTAAGGAAAATGAGATCTGTGAAAAATCAGATTTTAGCCTGGTGCATCAGTGTGTTACTGTTTAGTGTCTCCTGTTGGTCTTAGGGTGCTCCTGGAGCTGCTGGGATCTGGAAGGGCATGGGAAAAGGATATTTTAATTTTTATTTCCTTTTTTCAGGCAAAGGAGGTGGCAGAGCAGGTGCTGCTGTCTGTGTTAGACACCCTTGGCTTAGCACAGCTGAAATCTGCTTTACGGTGTGTATTTCCAGAGTTACTCATTGGGCTTCTTTGGGGGAAAAAATATCAATTATAAACTGAAAAATATCAATTTTAAACTGAAAAATATTAATTATAAACTGAGCTTGCCTGACTGCCAGATTTCAAGACTTCATAATGCATTCATCCTTTAAAAATCATTATAATTATCCCATTTTCCAGTTTTCTTAATCACTTCTTTTGCTTTCAGTCTATTCCTGCTTATTTTTTTCCATTTAAAAATATAAACCACACATTTCACCTCTACATTTTCTATTCTACAGCTCCAAAATTGCTTTTCAAATCCAGGCTGTGAACAACCATGGCAGGTTTGTATCACTATCTTACAACTTCTTGTTATTAATTACATTACTATGTAATTAATAACTATAACTATAATAATATAACAATTACATTATTATCTTGTTATTAATTACAGTGCTTTACATACACAAATAAATAAATTTTTCACCTCTTGAAACTCCTGCAAAACCCCTTGTGTTTGATAATTTCACACAAGAAGTGCTAAATGCTCTTGTGTATGAGGTAGTTCAGTGATTTCACATCTGTAATTCTGTGGAATTTAAGAAAACATTAAAAGGAATAAAAAGCAGTTGGGCAGGCTGATTTTTATTAACTGTTAATGAGTAGAAGCAGCATGAGCTCATTAAGTTTCCTTTGAAAAGTGCTTTTAACTTAGTTCATATCACAAACTTGTGCTTATTTAATCCCCACACTAATTGACTGAAATGACCTGCACAAATAAGTGTTTATTTTAAAATAAAACAGATTTTTTTGTTGCTGTGGAGTCACAGAAAGATGATCTAACTTTTAAATATTTAATTATCATTGTTCTAGAATTACTCCATTGGATAATGAGGACAGCCTGAGTTTGATCAAAACGGTAAGAAATAATAATTTTTATTTATTTAATTAGAAAATAGAGCTCAAATGTCTGTTTTTCTGGGACATATTGAGATTTCTATATGAATACAAATGTAAGGGGAGACATGAGTGAGATTTCAGATGCTGGACTAGGTTTCACATGAACTCAGAATTCAGAATAAAACATTTAACACAGATTTATCATCTCAGGCTTTAACCACAATATAGAAATACTGGTTTAGGATGTTTGAAAAATACAAATTTTGTTTTTTCAATTGAAATATTCCAAGTTCTTCTTTCTCTTCCCTCCAACTGCTGGATGGCTGCAGGCATCCATGATGGTGTTTGACATTCCAGACCTGCTCACAGGAAGAGGATGCTTGGGATCTGTTGTGTTTTCAGAGTCCTTCCTGACATCACAAATACAGGTCAAAGAAAAAGGTGAGCGGTTTAAATTCTAAAATTCAACTCCACGCTTGTCCTTCTGTGATGGGAAATCCAAAGAAATTCCAGTGGATGTTTTTGCTCTTACCCTGGTGGGTTTGGAACACGGAGAGCAAAGGAAGAAGCTGTGGAAAGATCAGAATAAGTCAGGATTTTCTTGGAACTCTGGAGCAGCCATAGAAATATCAGAATAAATCAGGATTTCTTTGGAGCTTTGTATATATCAGAGCACAAGAGCACTGGGAGTTACTGTTCTCTGAAAACTCCATTTAAACACTCAGAAATCCTTAAAATAATAAGATTTTCGTATTTACTATAGAAATTTCCAGTCTTAACAATACCATACTGGGCATTCTGAAGTATGGGGGTGGTATAAGTTTAGTGGCCATGGTGATATTAGGTCAGAGGTTGAAAATTCTAAAATTCAACACAACTCTTGTCCTTCTGTTGGCCTTGCTGTGATGGGAGAGCCAAAGAAATTGCAGTGGGTATTTTTGCTGTTACCCTGATGGGTTTGGAACACTGAGAGCAAAGGAAGAACCAAGGAAAGATCAGAATAAATCAGGATTTCTTTGGAACTCTGGAGCAGCCATGGAAAGATCAGAATAAATCAGGATTTCTTTGGAACTCTGGAGCAGCCATGGAAGGATCAGAATAAATCAGGATTTCTTTGGAACTCTGGAGCTGGAGCAGCTCTGTCAGAGCACAAGAGCGCTGAGAGTTACTGTGCTGTGAAAGCTTAATTTGAACACTCAGAAATGTTAAAATAAAGAGATTTTCATATTTACTAAAGAAGCTTCAAGTCTTAACAGGAACATACTGGGCATTCTGAAGTATGGGGGTGGTATGAGTTTAGTGGCCATGGTGATATTAGGTCAGAGGTTGAAAATTCTAAAATTCAACACCACTCTTGTCCTTCTGTTGGCTTTGCTGTGATGGGAAATCCAAAGGAATTCCAATGGGTGTTTTTGCTGTTACCCTGATGGGTTTGGAACACTGAGAGCAAAGGAAGAACCAAGGAAAGATCAGAATAAATCAGGATTTCTTTGGAACTGTGGAGCAACCATGGAAGGATCAGAATAAATCAGGATTTCTTTGGAACTCTGGAGCTGGAGCAGCTCTGTCAGAGCGCAAGAGCACTGAGAGTTACTGTGCTGTGAAAGCTTAATTTAAACACTCAGAAATCCTTAAAATAAAGAGATTTTCATATTTACTAAAGGAACTTCAAATCTTAACAGTAACATACTGGGCATTCTGAAGTATGTGGGTGGTATAAGTTTAGTGGCCTTGGTGACATTAGCTTAGAGGTTGAATTTGGTGATCTTGGAGGTCTTTTCCAACCTAAATAATTCCCTGATTTCACTGCTTTGTTTCCCGTGGCTCCCCTGCAGATGGCAGCATCCATCCAGACTCCAGGCACGTTATCCTGACTGCAGCTATCCCAAGATTTGCTTCTTGGCTGGTGAGTGAGAGCACAGAGCCTCAGCTCAGCTCATCCTCAGGGCAAAACTTGCTCTGGGAGTGGGCTTGGCTGAGGGAAAATCTGGAGCATGAGCACTGAAACACAATGTTGTAATATTAACATACCCTGGTTTTTTAGATTTGGGTGATAAGTGAAAAATTAAGCTGGTGGTTCCATGCATAGCAGGAGTTTTAAACTATTATTATTAAATTATTAAATTATTATTATTATTATTATTATTATTATTATTATTATTATTATTATTATTATTGAAAATGTCACTATTATTATTGTTGTTGAAATTTTCATTTATTATTATCATCATTATCATTAATTTCATTTTCACCTCGCCAGGTTTTTTTATCTTTTTAAAGGTCTGGTTGTTTTTGAAGTGCACAGTGGGACTTTTGAAAATTCTGTTTATTGTGGGTAATTTTAGATCAGCCCAAAAGAAAGCAAAGTTTCATTCAAGACCTTTGATGGCCTACACTGTGTAAGAGATAGAATTCCAAAGAATATGACAAAACTGGGCATTGCCCTTGGCAATACATGCTTGAACAGTAATAAAAAATAAAACTGCTTGCTTTCTATCTATAGAATATTTTAGTCTATAAAGCAATTTAATGGGGACAATGTGATGCAAGAAATTATTTTGGTCCCATGGTAACACATGAGTTTTAAGAGCAAAAATTGTTTTTAAAGCACTCTGGGCTCAGGGCTTCTGTCTGTGGTACCTGAGGTTCTTGTTGGCCTCAAAACTTCTTTAATGCTTTTTATTTAATGTTAGATTGCTTTATTTGTATAAATCACAATTAAAATGGATGCTCTTTCTGGCTGCAGGTTGAAGACAGTGATGTGAAGCTGTCTGAAAAGGCACAGCAAGTATTAAAGGTAAAATTAAATATTTTTTGTTAAACTAAAGAAATTTCACTTTGATGAACCAGGATTTGAAAAACTTGAGCTACTACCAGACTCTCTTTTTATTTTGTGTGTTACTTCTCTTCTACAAGACTTGCTTGTTCTGCCTTGTCTTTTTCAAAATTGCACATACAAAATAATATATTGTGTGTAAAAGTTTGAGGCTTTCTTTATTTCAAAGAATCCTAAAGCCCAAGAGCAAAAAGAGTCCTAATAAAACTATGATTTCATGGAAGCCTCACTAAACATTACTCATGGAGCTCATGTGTCTCCAAAAACCCCTAAAACTTGATGCAACTTTCTTTTAACTTAATTAGCATGCTAATGTCTACAGGAAAACACTCGAAGCACTAGGAAAAAAAAAAGAGTTTGGAATCTGGAAACATCTTAAATCACATGAGTTTCACATTTGTGGTGCAATTTGTGGCTCCCAGGAATGTTCATTATAAATAGATTTATTTTCATGTAATATACTTTTAGCTCAGTAGATGGGCAAAGTAAAAACAAAAAGCTCAGCCTTGTGGTTGTGACAATAACTTGTAACTTCATTGCTGCTGGCAAAACCAAAATGGGGGGAAGGCTTTTAAAAATTGCCCTCTTGCCTTGCTCTCTTTCCCTGGTCCATGCAGGATAAAAATCTTTTAAAGTTCTTGACTGATACTGTTTGAAAATCAGATATTTTCTCTTGGAGCAAAAGCAGGAGAAAATATTCCTGCTTGGGCTGGTCCTTGATCCAGTCTGTGATGTTGCTGTTTGGTTTTTCCTGTTTAGGAGGATAAATCTTTCCTGGGCACTTTACTCACTGGGGGTGATGGAGTTTATATCTGTTCCAGCAATCCACAGGCCATGCCTGCAGAAGGTGAGATGAAGTTTGTTTTATTTATCTTTTTTTTTGCTTGTTTTTTCTTGTTTTGGTGGGTTTTTAAACAGAAGAGAGGTTGTGGGATTCACACTCTGGTGAGCCAAACTGTGCCATCATCTTAAACTTCCAATTTACCTTTCCATATCTATTGTTTTTAATTCCATTTTTTTGTTCCCAACCTCTGCCTGGAAGTCCTGGAAGGAGAATTCCTGCAGAGCTTTGGGCTTTGCAGACCTTTGGTGAGAGGAGGCTTTTCCCCACATCTCACCTTCAAAAATGCCCAAACTGGCTGCTCCTGTCCTTGCCAGATGTGCTGCCAGATGTTTTCTGCCTTTTCTGTCTCTTTAAACATGAGGTTGGAAGGACTGGCCATTGCAGAAGTGCTTTGGGTTCCCAACTCAGGAGGAGAAAGCAAATATTCCTCCCAAAGCCTCCTCCTGGAGCTGACGTGTTCCAGGTTTCTGCCACTGCCATTTTCTCTCAGGAATTCAGAATTTGTCAGCTCTGGTGCTCACTGTGGCACAAAAAAATGCCTGAATTTGGTCCTTCAGATCCAATCCAGTTACAGCTTTTTGACACAACATCCCTGACAGCAATCTTGGATTATTCCTCTTTTTTTGGTGCCTTTTCCTTCAAGAACTTAAACAACATGAGTATCCCAGGAGCAAGACTGAAAACAATTTGATAGGACTGTTTAGATTTCCCTCTCTCCTTGTGCCTTGAATTAATATATTCTTTTTAAAGCACAATACTTTAATTTTCTATATATTCTATAGTATATAATTCTATTCTAGGATATATTTCTCTATATTTTCTATAGATATTTTTTACAGAGGAGGTGCTGCTGTCACAGTGCTGATGTGCAGCAGGAAGTGCTGAATATCTGACATTAAGTGCTTGCTGCTGACAGTATTTAGAGGAGAACCTTCAGCTTTATTGTCTTTGCCCTGGAGTGTGGAGGATAAATAATGATGTGCAAGGCAATTAAACAGCAACCCTCACATAAGGGCAGCTGCTTTGGCTCTAATTGATCAGATTTCAAAGGGAAGAGGTTAATGCAGAGTGTGATGTTCTGCTGTTTTGCAATGCAGTGCTGTGGGCACTTGTTCCCTCAGTAAATAACTGGAGAACTCTGGATTTTATTTTATTTTTTTTTCTTTGTTAAAACTGGGTCTGTGTGCCTCCAAAAGAGCAATTTTTTCCTTTTAAAAATTTTTATTTTTAAGGATTTTTTTTTGAGATTTGTGAAGTTCAGTGCTTTACCAACTCTTGAGCTACAGAGTTACAAATAGATGCTCTAAAGAGCATTAGGAAACACTGCAAGGAACATGAAATTTTTTTCCTGACATGACAGTGAAGCTGATTTTGTTCCCCAATTTGTTGTGCTCAAATTTGGGCTCTGCTGAGGTTGCAGCCCTGTAGTCTGGCACTGTGAGGTGCAAAAGGTGCATAAAATTCATGGAATAGTTTAGGTTGAAACATTTAGATCCAACCCCTTGCCATGGGCAGGGACACCTCCTACTAACCCAGTTTGCTCCAAAAATGTTAATTATTAAGTAAATTTTAATTTAAAAGGCTAATTTTAAATTATTTCTTTTAAGTTTAATTTAAACTTAATGTTAAATATTCCATTTAAACATTTTTACACTTCAGTTTGTTACATTATTTAAATTTTCAATTGTTTTGGATGTAATCTTTACTTAAGTTCTTGTATTGTCAGTTTTGTAGTTCTGGAAGTTTGAAATTTGGGAGGATGGAATTTTTTTTTGCTTTTAATTTAAAAAAAGTGCCTCAGAACATTTATGATAAGTGAGGTCAGATGAACTCAGATACAGTTGTAGTCATGATTCCTGTTCTTGTTAATGAGATCCAGTAAAGACTGAATGGTTGTAAATATTATCCCAAATAAAAGAAATATTTTTATTCAATAAAAATAAAATAAATATCAGTCAATATTATCCCAAATCAAATTTGCTGCTTGTTAAATACAACAAAATCCTGCAGGAACATAGATTTCTTCCTCAGGAAGCCAAGACATTCATCATGAGAAGCTGAAAAGTTGATTTATACCTCGTACAATTATTTTTCCTTCAAATTCTAGGCAAAGTGTATTTCTTTTCTGATGGAATTCTGTTCTGTGATCCCCACCATGGCAGCATTTCCATTCCCAAGAGCCACATGAGTTCCATTTCTCTCTATGATGGGGTGAGTATTTTGTCTCTTTTTTTCTGTCATAAAGTTTCCATCAATTTTTAACAAAAATTGAGTCCTGGTGCAAAGTTTAGATTGAAGTTTTAAGTATCTGTACAACTGTAATAACTGATGCAAATCACTGCAGTTTTGGTGCTGATTAACTGAAATTAGTGAATAAGGAGGAGAGAATTTTGTATTTGAGTTAGCAGTGTGCTGTGAACAGTGTGAAAACTGCTCTTTGTTAAAAGAAAAATTACACACCATGACATTCATCAAACATCTCACAGGGTGTAGGGATGGATAGAGAAGAGTTCAAGGTGTGGTGAGTCATGGAGGGTGAAATTCTGCCTTTTATTAGAAATATATTTGAAGCTGTCACTTGGCCAGCAGAGCAGTGTTCAGGCTCAGTGGGAATTGAGGGGTTAATGATGGCAACTCAGCTCTGTCCACCTCGAGGCAGAAACACCGGGTTAACCATCACTTCTTCAGGGTGGAAAAGAGATTATTTGTGTTGGTTACTGTGTCCTAAACACTGAGGGAAAAAAAAAATCAAGTTTCCTTTAGTTTCCCTTTTGTTCAGGTACAGTATTCCCCATTTATTCAGTGACCTCCCTCAGCATTGTGCTGGGTGATTTCATCCCACAATACAGGAAACCAGTAAAATACAATAAAAATGGGATTCAATTGAGATGAAAACACAGCAGCTCAGAGAGTCTTACCTTAGCTGCCTTTTCTTGGACATCAGATTGATTGCCCCTCGTTTCAGAAGCTATTTTAACACTGACCTTCCTGGGATTGTTTGACTCAAGACACTCACTTTCATAAAAGTTGCTATTTCTGGGACCTGGCCATCATTCTTGAAATGATGCCAGATTTTTGTGTGAAGCTAAGCCTTGACAGGGAGTGTATTATTGTTCTACTGACTTGGCAGAATGTGAGGGTGGAGGGTTTGGAAACTGTTAAGAAGTGACAGGAGGAGCAGGGGAATCGTTGGTTGCTCTTTCCAAAAGTTCCTGCAGCAATATGGATGGAGAAGAAAAAGGAGAATTTAATGTTCTGATGAAAATAAAAGATAACAAACTTTGAAGTGATGCAAAATTCAGTTTTTTAGCAGCTTTAGCATGATGCCTGTGAGATGTTCTCCTTTTTAACTTGAAAATATCTGGAATTCTGCTCCTGTGCTCTGAGGAACTGGGCACTGAGCTGCCCCTGAACTCCTGAAATCCCTGGAACTCTTTCAGGGCAGGGGAGATTCTGGCCATTCATCAAGGAAACAAATATTACCAAGCAATATTTAGATTTCACAATGACATGAACATCTTGTAAAACTTGGAGCTGGCTCCTTTCAACCTCGTGTCTGTGGGGATTATTGCTGCTGCTGCTGCTGCTTTTCAGCTTTTTTCAATTTGTGGAGCCCAAAATGTTTTCCAGGAGCAAATTTTGTTGGACACTTCTCGTGCTGACAGCAGCGTGGATGAGCTGGCCTTGAAGTCACTTCTCAGGAAATCTCTAAATCATCCTGAAGAATCCAGGATCTGTGGATTCTGTTCCAAAAGCCATTTTCTCTTAAAAGAAATCGTTCTCTTTGAGGAGAATATTTTTGTATGTTCTTCAGTGACCTCGGTGACTTTGAGAGGATTATTTTTATGATTAATCCCTCAGTCAGCAAAGCAGAGAGATTCTGTTTGCAAATGTCTCTGAGTTGATACCAATTCTTATGTAACAGCTCCCAACTTGGGCTTTTTCTTCTCAACAATGAGTACAGTGAGTTCTTTGCCCATTTCTATTGAAAGTGAAGGGGATGCCACTAAAATTCTGATTTGAACCCTATTATAATTGAATTCCCATTTCCCAGAAATGCTTCATGCTTCTAAATTGTTCTGATTTTCTAAAACTTTGATGTGCAAAGGGTTGTAAGTGAAAAGGGCTTGAATATAAAACACTTCAGCATCCTGAAAATTTGTGTATAAAATCCTGTCCTGGATTCCGTAGTCATGGAATGGTTTGGGTTGGAAGGGACCTTAAAAACCATCTTGTTCCACCCCCTGCCTTGGAGCTCCTTCCACTTTTCCAGGTTGCTCCAAGCCCCATCCAGCCTGGCCTTGAGCATTCCCACCACTCTGGGGAAAAAAACCCAAAGCAAACTAAAAAATAACCCAAAAAAAGTCAGTATTTTCTCAGAAAAAAATTGAACCTGAGTTCAGTTCTTCTGAGGGAAACACAACCTGAGGGCTTCAGCCTCCCTTGTCACCTTTTTAGGTGGCATTTAATTAATTTTTCATCTGCTGTCTGTGTTGGAGATGTGAGTTTAGACAAAGAGTTTGCTGTTTGAAGCAGTAGCAGAGGAAGGGTCTAGATTTTGGTGTGGACAAGAGAAGATATTAAAATTTAAGCTTTGTTTTCAGGACAAAAGTTTAGTGCTTTACTCAAACTCAGATCCTTTGTTTTGATCTTGTGATATCTCCAGTACCTGCAGATAGTTGTGTTCCACCCCCCCGCTCCATCTCTGTGCCATGTAAAGTAGAAAATGTTAATTTTAATTTGTCCTGTTTCTTTCTTTTCCAGGATTCCAACAGCATTGTTGCTGCTCTCTTTATAGACTTCAAAAGTTCCCTGCTTCCTCATCTCCCCATTGAATTCCACACCCACAACAACTTTCTGATGATTGCACTTTTCCCCAAAAGAAAGATTTATAAAGCTTTTTATTCCCAGGTAAAGGGAAAAAAAGTTTTGTTGGGATGGGGGAGAAACCACATAATTGCTCTGTGTGTGTTTAAGATGTGTGAGAAAAACTCAAATTTCTGTAAGAATTTCCAGTGCTGGTGCTGCTCATTGTGTTTAATGCTCCCATGTGCTTTCACTTTGCCTTCTGGAGGCAGCTGGGGCTCTAAAATCTCCTTTTCTGAGCTGCATTTCTGGTGTCTAATTTGCTGCAGGGATTGTATGGAGTGGCAGAGGTTCCATTGTGTGTTTTTGTGGTCAGACACATTTGGATCTTGATCCTTGGGGAAGTGGAGTTAAAGTTTTTCAGTCTCCCATATGGCATTGTATTATTCCCTAAGTAGATTGGCTGCTTGCATTGTGCTGCAGAGGCTTTTAATAAACCCAACTTTATAACAATAGTGCTTTTGAGGAAATGAGCCTGGAGATTTTAGGGCTTCACAAGGGTTTTTAGGATGTGCTCATCACACTGGCTTGGAAAAGACCACCTAGCTCAGTGAGTAGTCCCCACTGGTCATATTAATGGTCCCATAAAAGTCTCCTTCTTTTATCTTAAGTGTTTAAATTCCTCCCACTGTTCCACTCTGAATGGTTGGCAATCTGTTGTTTGTTTGTATTTGAATTTTCAGCCTATTTTATTAATTCTACTTCTATATCTGTTTTATTTTTCTTTTCTCTACCAGAACACATCCTCGAGATACTCACAAATCTCAGACCTATTCTTTCTGCTTTATTTGGCCTAATAAAACAAAACCAGATTCTTTTCAATCTATGCCTATAAAATGTTCTTTTTTCTTCTGATAGTTGTAATGCTTTTCTTTTGATCTGCTTTTTGGCTGTAGATATCCAAACTGTTTGTAGTATCTGAGATGAGGGTGTTTGTTTCCTCTATTGCTTTTTCTCAGGGCTATTTATTCCTCTCCTCCTTTGAGTTAATTTTTTTGCTGAACAGTTTCACACTGAGGTTCAGCTTGGGCAGTTTAAGTTTTTCATTTGGCACCACACCAGCTGCTTTGCTCAAGCAGATAAAACAAATCTTTTGTTTTCAGGGTGTTCTCTCATGAACAAAACTCTTTATCAAATTGACTCTACCTGATTGTGTAAACCATGGAAATATATTAAAGTATTTTGTCAGTATTTACCTTCAGCTGTTTATTGATTTCCTCCAAAATTCCTTCTGAAAATCTCTGTGCCTCACAGGTTACAAAGATTCACTAAAATTTAGATGCTGCTTCTACTCTTCTCAATTATTGGCTTGATACCTCACTCACTGGAGCTGTACTTTGATTATTCCAAACCTCCTGGAATTAGGGAATTGCAACTGCCCTGTTCCCCAAATCTGGGTTTGTTAAAAACTGAGATGAAATCTGCTGTGCAGGCTGAGGTGATGCCTTTCCCATCCTCACTCTAAAGGGTGCAGGAGGAAAATTTATTTAGACTTTAAACTGTGTTGATTTCTCTCTTTTTTTCTTTGATGCCAAAGCAGCTCTTTTTTAAACTTTCTTTAAGTTATACAAAAGGTTCTGATATATTTCTATATTTCTAATACTTGTTAGGCTGACCTATGTTTTCACTTTATCCCCAGCCTTACAAAACACAAACTTCCCTTGACCATTCCTTTTTTCCATCTCTCCCAGGCATTTCTTTCAGTCCCTTCTGTGTGTTTTGAAGTGGTTGTTTCTTTAGTTGTGTGGATCCTTTTGCATGAGCAAGATTGCCTTTGTTAATATCAAAAGTATATTTTATTTTGATGGTTTTTATCTCCTACCCTTGTGTTTGGGATGCTGAGTTTTTAATGGAAAGCAGTCGTGTCCCCCCCAGTTGTTTTGTCTTGCAGACAGTTATTGTGAAAGATGACAATGGCTGTTGCCTTTACTTATGAAAAGAAGGGAAATTCCAAACACTGACAGGACTTTGTGATTCATCTGAATCTGATTTCTAGGTTCCCAGTGCCATTCAGATTAATGTGTCTTGGCTGGAGCAATTGGATGGGAGCCAGAACATTCCCTGGAGAAACCAAGGGTTTCCTTTTCTTTTGGGAGGGAACAGAGTTTTTCTTCAATTTTGAGTAATGATTGCTGCAATCTCACCTCATGAAAATTACAGCAGTGCTTCAAAGAGACTTGAATTAATTCAGTTCCTTCTGTAGAGCACTTGGGCCATAAACATCTACATTTCTATCAGGGAAAACCAGGCCATATCAGTAAATTCCTAAAGCTCTTCCAGTCTTAGCCAAAGAAAAGGTTGCAAAATCTGATCAGTGGATTTGAATTTTAAAATTGGAAGGGACCTTAAGTCACATTTCATTCCATTCTCCCAGGTTTCTCCAAGCCCCATCCAACACTTGGACACTTCCAGGGATGTGTCCACAGCTTCTCTTACAGCAAAACCTTTATTGTGCAATATTTAATGACTTGTGAAAATGTGTCTGTTTTTTTAGGTAAGCAAAACCAATTCCTAAACAAATCCACAGCAAATTTGGGAAAATAATGACACTCATGCATGAATCTGCTTTATTCCAGGTTTTCTCTTCATGGCATAACCAGACAAACTCAGGATTATCTTTAAGGGTTGTCCCAGAAGAATTCCTGTCTGAGGAACAAAAGAGGCTGTAAGTTCCTGCCAGTGCAGTTACACAGAAGCTGCAATCAGAAAAATGCTGTTATTTATTGGTTTTGATAATAATAATTAAATTCTGACAATAATTTAAAAAATGGTGCATTCTTAGTGCAACACTCACATTTTTTTGGTACCATTTAATATGTACCCATGTGATTGAAAGAAGAGAAATTTTTATGTTTCTCCTTTAACTAATTAATTAATTTTTTTCTTTCAGGCATTCCAGTGTTCAGAAGATCTTCAATGCCTCTTTTGCTTCAGGGGAAAGATGCAGGGAGCTGAAACTGTCTGCTGCCATTCCAGGATTGGAGAGGTGAGAAATTACTTTGGTGTCCAAGGGATTCATTCTGTCAGAAATGAGACAAAACTGTTTTTGTAGATGTGATAGCCATCTAAAAATATTTCTTAAATAATTCTCTCTTTACATTAGGATGTTTTTATTCTGAGATAAATTATTTCCTCTCTAGCTTGACCTTTTCATACTCTTGTTTTAGTAATTTCCCAGCTATTTAGATGGATGAAATCTTTTGCTGTCAATTGTAAAGAAATAAACCTTTTATTTTTGGAAGGTTTGTGCAGCACTTCACAGTCAGCAGTGTTAGCACCAAGCCAGTGATGAGGGCACATCTTCCTGTCCTTCTTCAAGAGTCAGAAACCATTTCTGACAGCAAAGCAGAAGGTGATAAGGTAAGGAAACAACTCCACAATAATTCCTTACCCTCATCTAGAATATTTGGAATATTCTGTCAGTAGTTCTGTTGTAGTGTGATAAAACACTAATCCTGTTCAGCCATGCTCTGCCTCCTCCTCCACTACCACCAGTTTTTTGTCTTTTTTTTTTTCAGGTTATATACTTAATTCTTTTCCATTTAACCAATCTTTTGGAAGTGCAAATGGCCTTTCAAGCTGATGAATAAGAGGCAGAAAATGAGGTGTAGATCTTTAAGTGAAGTGTTTTCTCTAATGTCCAGAGAGACTTTGCCCTAAAGCAGGCAGCTTGTTTTTATGAATTGCTGAATAATTTAACTGAATTGTTCTCTGGAACATAAAAGTCCTTTAAATAGCATAGAGGTAGCACATGATATTTAACATTTGCTGATATTATCTGTATAACAATCCTTTCTCTATAAGGGCAATAACAATTGTCCAGTTTAAGGTGGGCTTTAAATAGCATTTTCAGAGAAAATATTTCCTTGGAGCTTCCCAGGCTTTTGAAATCTGCTGAAAACAAAGCCAAAGCAGCAGGAATATAATCTTTCCTTGCAATATTGCTGGGGTCTGGTTCAGAGACCATTCTGACAATTAATAAACCCTTAGGAATGTTTTAAAATCTGATTTTAAGTTTGGTTAACTGTGGACTTAAAAAAAAAAAAAGAAAAATCAATATGAATCATAGAAAACAGCCTTTTTTGTGTCTGCACCAGTGTTTCTGTGGTTATTTTGTGTTTAGACTTGCCTTGTCCTGTTCCTGTGTTGCAGGTGATCATCACCATCCTCACTGGGCTGCCCGGGTGCCGTTCCAGCGACCTCTGTTCCTTCCTTGTCACTTTTACCAAGGAGCATGGGAGGTTGGTGCAGCTTTGCTTACACTGATCACCAAAAAACAGCTTGGCATGAAGGAAAAAAAAATTATCACTGTTTTATTTGGTGATTTTTAAGCCTCATTTCAGACTACCAGGTAGATTTGCCCCTATATTTATACATTTAGACAGAAAAACAGCACAGGAGATTTCTTTGTTGCCTATTCCATGTGGTGAAGAACTTCCATTTATTGATTTGTAGTGATTCTTAAATGCTTCTTTTCTTCTTTTTTTGAGAAAAGACTGTACTAACAGTGCTTGCCACAACACGGTTTTTAAATTAGCCTGATTTGAGGTGCATTCAGGACATCTGTTCTATGGCAATGAGATAAATCTGCTATAGGAATTTGCCACTCTGTGTCTTGATAGAGCTTCTGAAAAATAAAAAAAAAATCCTACCCTTTTAATTCTTACAGCCAAACACCTTAGCATTTAATCTGAGCTATGTTCAGCACTGTTCTTACTTTTAACTCAATTTTATCAAGTTGATTCAGAGCAGTTTTGTGGCTCTGTTATAGGGCAAACACGTAAGGTGACTTTTGAAGGTTGTGTAATAACACATCTTCTCATGTTTTCCTGCAAATGTCATTGTTACTTTCCATTTTTGCACTGAAATATTTTCATGCCCAGAGTCTTGAATTGGATTTGTCTAATTTTTGTTTACTGCATCACTGCCAGTGATCAGAATTACTCATATGATGTACAGCTTTGAAAAAAGCTGGTGAACATTGTTTTATTGAAAAACAACAAAAAAAATATCCACAAACCCCTTTGGCAGCCATGTAAAGAATGTACATATGCTGGAAATGATAGAAAGCCAAATAAATTCCCCTTCCCCACATGGAACGAGATCATGATGAGAGATGTGAAATCGTTGGGCTTGTCAAACTTCATTTTGGTCTGTTTCTTGAAAAGAAGTGTTCTGGTTTGAAAGCAGCGAGAGACTCCAAGTCAGAAATATAATTTATTAGGAAAAGGGAAAAAAAACCCCAAATACATACAGTAATACAAATGAAAAATCCCTGAGAGAGTCAGAATACAACCTGACACCCTGTTGGTAGCAGTCCAGTTGGAATTGTGGCTCAGCCCTCCTGCAGTGCCCAGTGTGGTTCTGGTGGAGCAGGGATCCTGGAGAAGCTCCAGGGGTGCTGTAGATGGGCCTGGGCTCCCTCTGAAGATCCAGTGGAAGAGGCAGCTGTTCCTCTGGGAATCCAGTGGAAAAGCTGTGCTGGTGTCCCAAACCTCAGATTGTATCCAGGTAGGAATGCTTGGCTCCTCCCCTGGGCGGAGCATCTCCCCATGAGATGATGGAATTGGATCAGCCCTGCAGGGACACTCACTGGCCATTAACAGAAGATAATTAATGATTAATGGCCCATGAACAGAACATATGTCACTGACATATTTTATGAAAAATCTTTTCGTTAAGATCTTTTCTCCTGAGAAGCTGAGAGGCCTCAGAAACAAAATGTAAACAATGGTTATCTGCTGCTGTGAAATGCAACAGTTGCATCTGTGATTGGTCTCACATGTGGTTGCTTTTAATTAATGGCCAATCACAGTCCAGTTGTCTCAGATTCTCTGGTCAGTCACAATTTTATTATCATTCTATTCTTTTCCTTTTAAGGCTTCTGATGAAATCTTTTCTTCTGTTCTTTTAGTATAGTTGTAATATATATCATAAAATAATAAGTCAGCTTTCTGAAACACAGAGTCAAAATTCTCATCTCTTCCCTCGTCCTGGGACCCCACCACAAACATAATTAATAATTAATGGTCCATTAACAGGAGATATCTCCCCGGAGGGAGGATTGGCCGTGGAAGAGATAAAGAAAACTGCCCAATGAACAGAAGATAACTGCTCCACCTCTGACAGATGGCAAATAGAATACAGATTGCCTTCAGTTTAGGAGAATAGGAAGAAAACAGAGCTGTTGTGTGCCAGCTGCTGACCTGCCTTGCTCCCTGTGTGTGCCCCAGGTGGATTGTGTATCGGCAGACCATGGACAGCCCGCAGTGTTTCAGTGCCTCCCACTTCCAGCGCTTCCTGGCCGGGCTCCTGGAGGCCCAGCAGAACCTTGGGGTCCATCAGCCCACCCTGAAGAGCTCTGGGAAGCCCGCTGGGAAGAACAACAGGCTCCTGGTGGTGCTGCAAGGGTAAGGAGCTGTTGCGTAGAATAAGGCAATTCTGGTTTTTATATGGACCAAACTCAGCTTTTCTGTCCCTGTTGGTTTTGTTGCTCCTGTTAAAATGGTGTCCTTAGCTTTCCTTCCATGGTCTGGGTGCACTCACAGCCCAGAACCCCTCTGTGGGCAGCAGGGGAGGGGGGATTCTGCCCCTGTGCCCTGCTCAGGTGAGACCCCACCTGCAGAGCTGCCCCTGCTCTTAGGTCCCACCAGCAGAAGGACCTGGAGCTGCTGGAGAGAGTCCAGAGGAGGCCACAGAGCTGCTCTGAGGGCTGGAGGCAGGCTGGGAGAGCTGGGAATGCTCACAAGGCTCCAGGGAGAGCTCAGAGCCCCTTGCAGGACCTAAAGGAGCTCCAGAAGAGCTGGAGAGGGACTGGGGACAAGGGATGGAGGGACAGGACACAGGGAATGGCTTCAGATGGAAAAAGGAGAGATTTGGGTGGGATGTTGGGAAGGAATCCCTGGCTGTGAGGGTGGTGAGACCCTGGCACAGCTGTGGCTGCCCCTGCATCCCTGGAAGTGTCCAAGGCCAGGTTGGAGCAGCCTGGAGTAGTGGAAGGTGTCCCTGGTTGTTGCTGGAGGTTGAACTAAGGTGACCTTTAAAGGTCCTTTCCAACCCAAACTGTTCTGTGATTCTGACTCCAGAACTGCCAGCAGAGATCAAACTGTCAGAAATCTTGTTGCCTGATAGAGCAGGTGATAACAGAGGAGGGCTTAGTGATGTGTTTTGGATAAATGCCATTTTCCTTGTGGGATAAAGGTGAGGACTGAGCCACCTACCTGTGTTTGACATTTCCATCTCCAGTGTAGCATTTGAGAACCAGGATCATCTTCTGAGTCATTAGAAGGTGACACAAACCAGGGTGAGGGAGGCACTACCCTGACCTGGCTGCAGTGATTTCCAGCTCATCCTTCTCACTGAGGGTGTACAAATGGAGCTCAGCATTTTCTTCATTAGGATCCATTCTGATAATGTTAAAAACCATCATTTTTTCCATTTTGGAGCCAGATTAATTTAATTTTTTTGTGTAATTAGTAAGGATGGTGTCAAATCCATTGATGGGCAAAATAACTGATAATCTGGTAGCAGCTCTGCTTCAGGAACAGAAAATTGGAAGTTTTTAATTCTTTATGGATAGCTGGATGTTGGTGTAGACAGCTTTAGAGTAGCTGGAGTTCTTTAACTATCCCATTCGGCTAAAAACTGAATAAAAATTTGTAGATAAAAGTTTGTAACTGGCTGAGAAATAAATACCTGAAATTAAAAACTTAAATACCTGAAATTAAAACTCAGCTTCACCTAATAGAGATAAAATGCAACAGTGATGAAATCCTGATAAAAAATGGATGCATTAGTGGTAGAAACATATTTAAATTGGGAGCTGATAAATGAGAGAGGCTGTTATTTTGTTCATTTTTTAACTCAAATTGTGCTTCATTTGCTTGGCATGAAGTGTTTGTGTTATATTGTGCTTTTTGTGCTTTCTGCAAGCTGCCAGTTGTTCAGTGCAAGGTTTACACTATTTTTTTCTGAATTGTTAATAATTTAATTTTAATGTTACCTCCAGTCAGTTTATTTGCTGGATTTGCTTAATTTGTTTAGATTTGCTTGATTTGTTTGGGTTTGCCAAGCTCTGAGCTACTTTCAATCTCTTTTTGTAGCTCTTTTGGAAATCCAGTTTTCCTCCAAGCCATCAATTTCTTCCTGAGTAGGGAACTGTTCTGGATCTCTGAACCCATTTTTCCTTTTGGATTCTTGCAGGTACACTGATGTTATTGATGTTGTGCAAGCCCTGCAGACTCACCCTGACCCAGATGTGAAATCTTCTTTCATCATTGGAACAATCAACACCTGTGTGGAGCCTCTGAGCTGCTACATGGAACACAGGTGTGCTTTGAAGTATTCTTACAAGTTTAAGAGCAGATATGTCAATTTTTGGTATCACTTTTATAATAATTAGTGATTTGTGATGGTTAAAAGCCACTTAAATCTCATAAAATTGCTTAATAATCCATCTTGGAGGAACTTGGAAGTGCTGTTTGGTTTATCAGGATGGCACTTGGTTTCCACTGGGTGTATAATTATATAAAATATCAATAGAAGTTCAGCTCCAATAGAAGTTCAACTCCTAGAAGAATAAATAAAGTTTGTGTAAATATAAATCTTCTGGTTAAGGACTTTGTAACTCTGAATATTCTCTTTTTTGCAATCTTGTAGTAAGGCAGACTAAAAATGGAGATGTGCATCTCATGGGTTATTGATTCTGCCACTACTTTTGGATGTTTAAAAAGAATTTACAGGTTTCAGATATGGAATTGAAGGGAAACAATGCCTGAAATGGGGAAGGGAATGACAAAGCACGGAAGCCAAAGCATTGCAAGTGTTAAAATCTGATATCCTGGGTTACTGCAGAGCCAGGGTGGGGAGGAAATGGTCACAGAGCCAAGTCACTGACCTTTGGAAATAGTTTGGTTTCATAGTAAATGTGTGTGCTCCAGACTTCAGCAAACATGGGAATCATTTCTCAGACCTACCTGTAAAATTGTAACACTCCAATTTTTTAATTATGCCTTGCAGCTGATTTGATAAAAGTAAGTTCCAGCAGTTAGAGGTTTTGGAGTTGGTAGCACTGCTTCTGTTTGTGATCCAACTGTGCATCACAGCTTAGAGGAGAACTGCCCAAGCAGTTTCTAAAAGTGCATTCCTGACATTTCCTGGCTGTTTTAAAACACTAACCAAGGTGCTGCTTGTGCTTTGCAGTAGTCAATAAATAGACTTTACCTTGCTGCTTCTTCTTGTCTCTGTGACAAAGATACCAAACAAATATTAAAGATTACATAAAAAAATTGTTGAATTGATGCTGGAGTGCTGTTTAAACTTGTCCTTTCCATAATTCTAGGAAAGACAAGTTCCATTTCTGTTTCACTTTTAACTTACTAACGTGTTACTAGTCCTGGTACTGTGTAGTGTTTAGCAGCAGCAGCCTGCAGTCCTTTCACACTGTTTTTCTCCTCAAGTGCAGAAGCAATTGAAGGCAGAGGCTCAGCCTGTGCTGGAGATTATTTCTATTTTCCTTTGGAGTTTGTTCTGATAAGAATTTCCCAAATAGCCACACAGTGTCCATGGCAAACCTTGCAGTTGGGAAACTTTGGTGATTTCACTGGGAGAATGGAACAGAGTGGATTTCATGTCTGGCTTGAAACTTGCACTCAAGAAAATCAAACCCATTTCCTGCCTCAGAGTTCATCATTGTAGAGATCCAGCTCTTCCATGAGCATGGCATGGAGCTTTTCCCCATTCTGAATTAACAGACCAGGGCAGGGGAGAGGGGAAGGGAACAGGTAAAATGCTCTTCTTGAGGGTTTGTGTCCAAGACAAAGCTCCTGAAAAACATTGTCAAAATTTTTGTCAAAAATTGTCAAATTCTTGTCTGGCACAGCAGCAAAAATTGGCATTCTGTACATCCAGTCTTTCTATGGAAAGTTCCCACTCTTTGAAAGGCACAATTCTTTTGGGCAAACTTCAAATTCGTATTGTTTAAATAAGAATTCAAATAACATTGAAGCATTTCTGCTTCAATTCTTAGAGTTCTGCTTCTATTTCTTAGAGTACAGAAGAAATTACATGGTGGGAATTAGCTCTTAAATCTGCTGGCGAATTAAAACCATCTACAAAACTGATTTTTGGGGGAAAAGTCCTGAAAGACATAACCTGTGAGGATGTTGCAGTTATATGGATTGAGGAAAAGAAGCATGAAAATGGTTTGGTTTGTGAGATTTTGTCAGCATCCAAGTGAATGTAAATGTTTTACTTAAATAATAATATCAATTTTTAATATGTGAACTTTTTGGTTTTTTAGGCTTCTTTTTCCCAAGTTCTTGGACCAGTGTTCACAAGGTATGTGTCACTTTTCCTGACTTTGAGCTCTAGAGAATTGGTCATTGTTGAAGGAGAAACTGCAAAATGCCCAGGACGACAGTAGCTGATTTTCTTGCAGTCAGAATGCTGCAAGAATTACAAATAACTGAGCCATGTGGCCAAATAAATACCTGTATTTATTATTTTGTGCTATTAATAGATGAGACAAAGAGTCTTGATAAACTCTTGGAGGTAAGAACAGACAATCTGTGTCAAACATTGGCAGAAAAGGTAAAAATTCTGGAGCATGATCCATTTTGAAGTCCTCATGTGCAGGATGGGTTTCTTAAAATCATGAATGAAACTGCTCACACTGAGCTGTTGTAACTGGGAGTGAGATGGATTGAACCGGAGTTCCACCCTCCTTTGGGGATGTGTGAGGAAATGGAGCTTTCCTTTCATTTCTGCTGTATTAAAAAGGGCAAAATGAGGGGTGACCTTGTTCCCCAAATCCTCCTCTTGGTGTGGCCTGAAGGGTCCTTGCAGGGTGTTCAGTTTTATATTCTGAAATCAATCACTGGCTGCACTGTCCTCCTTGCCAGGCTTGGGAATTAAAGCAGGATTTGGCATAAATGGGAAATGATCCTTCCTCACCTGCCCTCAAATCCCTGCCCCAAGTGTTCAAGGCAAGGTTGGGTTTATTTTTGGGTTTATTTGGTCTTTATATTTAAATGCAGTTGTTGTATAATCAGAGTAGGATTCTGTGCTCTTCTGGTGGCTGCTTCAACTCTGATTGCTCTGCTTGGCTGTCAGAGTGCTGCCATCTCTTTTTCATGTGTGAAGAGAACCTTAAAAAATGAAGTTGTGAACAAGCTGGACAGAAAGTGGGTGCTGTTATATAAATCAATATTTTATTTGGAGAAAAGTGTTGGTGCTCCAAATTGGAAAATTATCATGTGTACACCCCCTGGTAAAATTGAAGAGAGCAGGAGAATGTTAAGAATGTGAAGAATTGTTAATAACTACAGAGAAGTTAAAGGTGCAAATTGTTTTATGAAAGAATAAATAAAACACTCAAAGTTTTGTTTTCCTTGAAGTGAATTTGTACACACTGGATTGGGTGAGAATTGGTCATTGTTGAAGGAGAAACTGCAAAATGCCCAGGACAAGAGTAGCTGATTTTCTTGCAGTCAAAATGCTGCAAGAATTACAAATACTGGAGCTTAGAGGAATGTTCTTGTGGCAGGGAATAATTTCTGCACATTGCAAAGTGTTGTCGTGCAGTTCTGTGATACAGAATGTGACATCATGGCTGAGAGGTCCCTTTGTGGAAAGAAATTATTTCACAAAAATAGGGGTAATTTTTGTGCAAAAGGTTTAGGAGGAAAAGTATGCTTTGAAGTGAGATGTGGCACACTTAAACTTTCCAGACAGATGCAGAGTTGTGCCATGTGTGCAGTAATAGAGAATTTACATTTGCATAATTCATAGAATCACAGACTGGTTTGGGTTGAAGGGACCTCAAAGAGCATTTATTGCCACCATTTAGTGCCACCCCCTGCCATGGCAGGGACACCTTCCACTGTCCCAGGGTGCTCCAAGCCCTGTCCAACCTCTCCTTGGACACTGCCAGGGATCCAGGGGCAGCCACAGCTTCTCTGAGCACAATTAAAAGAGAATTCATTATGTTTCACACACCTGGGAATTCATTTTTGGTGCAACAACAGCAAGATTTAATGAGACATTCACACTGAGATATTAATTCATATTTCTGGAATGCTGTGCACCCCAATATTGTTCATTTTGCTGTGTCACCAATGGGTCAGGACTGTGTTGTGTTGGTTTTTGGATTTTTTTTTTTGAAGTTGGGATTGAAGATACTTGAGATGATGCTTTGTGTTTAGATTTAAATGCTTATTTTTAAAATCTATATTACATTTTATAGGTAGTGAGTTTTGTATTTAGTATCTGACTAATAAGGTAACTATTTTTTGTTATAAGGTTTTTCAAGGTTAAACTACCTAATTAAGAAATGATACTTAAATTGCTTTTACTTTTAACTTAATAATTAATTTCTTTTAAGTCCACAATGTAGACTTTTTTGTCTAATTACAAAACACTACTCAAACTTATGAAGGACTAGCTCTTGTTCTAAAACTTTTATTTGTTTCATATATATTACTATATTTTAAAACCCTAAACTCTTTAAGTTTTTTACTTTGTGATATTATATGCTACTTTTAAGTTAATAATTAATTACTTCAAGTCCACAATACAGGCAGACTTTTCTGTCTAATTACAAAATCCTACTCAAACTTATGAAGAAGAAGGTGAAGAAGAAGCTTTTGTTCTAAAGCTTTTATTTGTTTTATATCTATTACTATACTTTAAAACCCTAAACTCTTAAGCTTTTTACTTTGTGATATTATATGCTTTTAACTGAATGATACTCTTGTAATTTTAGTGTTATTAATTAGTTTTGGAAGCTTTCTTTATGGTCAAATGTAGTGTTTTCCTGGGAGTTAGGGTCTGTTAGCCTCAAATTCTCAGTCTAGAGCTCTAAAGTTCTCTAAGTGTAAAATTCTCAGTATCTAGAGCTCTAACAGTGTTGTACTGGGCTTTGTAGAGATCTGAAGCCAAAACTTTGTGGGTGTGAGAAAAACCAAGTAGGAATTAATTAGTAGGAATTAATTAGACTTTGGAGCTGTACTTTTTCCTTCTATCTTCACACGTGGGGAGTGAGTTTGTTTTGCCTTTTGGTGCCTTTCTCTGTATCACAGAGGTTCCTGGGGACGTTATCAATGTGAGATTTTCCAAAATTTCTGTTTGGAGAGCCCCAAGACTGACAGAGGCAGTTGGGGATTGGGGAGAACTGACAAAGCCAAAGACCAACAGGAGCATCCTGTTCATACTTCCTTAAATTTCTCCAGAAATTCCTGCCACCATCTGTGTCCTGTAACTCCCTTTTGTCTCTCTTTTCTTTATTTTTTTTTTGTCTTTCTGTCCTTTCTTTCTTGCACAGAAGCTGTAAGATGATACCTTCCTAGTCCAAGGGCATCCCTTGTGAAACAATTTCATATAGAACACAAATTAAGACATCACCATTGTTAAATATTCCCATTGTAAGTTTGGGAGCAAAGAGGAGCCATTATTTTCATACAGCTTATGTATTTTTAATCCATCCCTCCTGTTCCTTTCCTGCTTCCATTGAACATGTTATTCCCCAGGCTGCAAGGGTTCTTTTCTTTAGAGGAGTGTATAAATAAAGATTTAAACAAAACTGGGTGGTCTTCAAAATGCATCTCTTAGAAACAGAGATGGCAATGGCAACTTAAATAAAAAAGGTTAAATTTGTTCATTACTGAAGACTTGGAGGCACCTTCCAATTCTCAGGAAGTTGTTTTGTTTTTCTTTGGATTACACTCCCTGTTTTGTTTTCTTTTTTTTTTTTTTTTTTTTAACTTAGAGCTTTTCCAGCTTATCCTGGACAGTTATGGATCCTCTTCAAGGCTTGGTGCTGCCAATTGTCACAAGGACTCAGTGGCAGCTCTGTGGCACAGCCACAGGGTGGTGGGGGTGATTCAGGAATCCCAGAATGGTTTGGGTTGGAAGGGACCTCAAAGCTCATCTCATTCCAACCCCCTTCCACCATCCCAGGCTGCTCCAAGCCCCATCCAGCCTGGCCTGGAATAGTCCAGGGGTAGAATTATTATCTTATTAATAGTATAATTATCTCATTCATATTTTTATCCTAATTTCATTATTAATATCCCCAAACCTGATACTATTTCAAGCCTGCCCATGGCTTAAATTTCAAAGAGTGCTTTGCTGTTCTTCTTCCCTTTTCCCCCTCCTCCAAGAGCAAGTATTGAAGACATGGGTGTTGCTGAAATTGGAGTGGAAACTTTAAAAGAGAAATACAGTGATGGAGATTTGTGCTGTTAATAAAGTTCTGGCTTGGAAGGGTCAGTGATGCAAAGAGCAGTGACTGGCAGTGTGTGGTGCAATTCAACAGCCCCAGAAATATTTGGTGCAGGAATTTGTGTGTAAAGCAGCCTTTGCATGGATTAATGTGATTTAAGACTTGTTAAAGACCAGGAATTGGTGTGATCAGTTGTTTCATCTTTACTTTGAATAGTTGGAGGCAGAGAAAATGCATCCTGGCTCAGTTGTTCCTGGGTGTTGGAGATTCTCTGTTCTTCCTTCCACTCCACTTGTAGTCACAGGAAAGTGTCAGAGCAGGGGTGCATCTTGAGCAAAGAAATAACATTTCTTGTAAAATTACAGAATTGTTTAGGTTGGAAAAGATCTCTAAAATCATCAAATCCAATTATCAACCCAGCAGCACTGCCCAGTTCCCCATTACTCCTGTCAAGAGCCACATCCACGTGTTCTTTGAACACTTCCAGGGATGGGGGCTCCACCACAGCCCTGGGCAGGGCTGGACAACCCTTTCCATGAAGAAATATTTCCTAATATCTCATCTAACCCTCCCCTGGCACAACTTGAGGCTGTTTCCTCTCCATTTCCTCTCCATCCCTCCCATTCAGGACAATGCAGACATCCTAGGGAGGCACCAAGTGTTGACACTGCAATTTCTTTGAGGAACTGGGCTGAAAGTCAAATCATGTATAACTGGAAAGCAGGGATCCTAGAACTGAATGAACTGGATGGTTTTCTGTTATCTTTTTGATGCCTCATGGGTTCAGTCTTGCTGTCTGAATAAACTTTTGGAGTCTTTAAATACAGAAAATAACCCTAAACCCTTCTCTTGTGGCAACTGAGTGTCCAAAATTCTGATTTTTACCTGTTCAGTCTCTTCCTGCACATTGAATTCATTACACCTTAATGTTCTTTTTATTTTTTTCTAAACTAGTCCTGCTCAAATTGATTGTTGTATGGATTTGTTGTTTTAATTAATTGGGTCTATGGATTGAGTCTAAATTGATTCTGTTAGATGAAAGATTCTCTGCTTGTTTTTTTTTTTGTTGTAGTGGTTTTTCTTTTTGTCTTTAATGAAAGAATGCAGTGAAAGGGAAGGAAAATAAGAGAAGAATGGTTGGAATATCACTGAATGGTTTATTAGTCACTGTTTACATGCCTGAACTGTGTAAAATATCCCCTGATTTCCTTCCACAGGACTGGTGAGTAATGTGGTTTTCACAAGTCATGCCACAGAGCAGAGGCACCCACTGCTGGTGCAGCTGCAGAGCCTGATCAGAGCAGCAAATCCTGGAGTTTCCTTCATCCTGGCAGAAAATGGGATTGTAACAAGGTAACTTCCAGCAGGATTTATTGCTTTTGGCACATGGGCCACCAGCACTCAGAAACTTCTGTTCTCATGTTTTTGCTCTGGTGATTTATAGGAAGGAAATGCAGATTTTTTCTTAATTGCTTCTCGTGCAAAAGGGATTTTCCCTTTACGTTTATGGGCATATAAATACAGGGATTAGGAAATGTGTTTTGTTTGCAGAGTGTGATTTATGTTGCTGTTACTGCCATACTAAAGGAAAAGTGCTCTTAATTTTACTGTCACTAGCACATTATGTTTTAATGTAAGTAGATAGTGGCCATTTTATTTAACTTAGAAAATGAAAAATCTTCATTTTTATCTCTTTACAGGAACGAGGATATTGAACTAATTCTCTCAGAAAGCAGTTTTTCAAGTCCTCAGATGATGAGAGCTCGATATTTAATGTACCCTGGCTGGCAAGTATCTAGACTGAGAAGTATTAAAACTATTTTTCTAATTAACTTGAAGATTAAAATGTTTCACTAACTTCATTTATATATTTTTTTTTCCCTAAGACTACTCATTTGGAACAGGCAGCAGCTTTGTAAATCATTTTTAAGAGAGCTGATGATTATTCTTAGTGGATACAAGATTGCTGCCTTTTTATGGGGGGAAAAGCTCCTTTTTGGCCACCATTTAAATCAATGGCAAGATTACTGTTGCTTTCCAGAAGAATAGGCAAGAACCCTGTGGGAATAAACTGGGAAGGATTGGGATGGGTGAGGTCAATAATGACTGGAGTAATTTCATCCTGACAGCTATTCAGCATTACTGGAATGAACTTGCTCTGTCAGTCTGGCCATTAGCAGAGCAATTATTCACAAAAACCAGGAACCTCAGTGACAGCCCTGGCACAGCTCAGCCACAAACCCACGTGGCACCAAATCTCCACTGAACACCGAGGGAGATTTCTCCTGGCTCAGGGCTCTTCACACATCTTGTTGCAATTCTTTCTGCTGTACCTTTTTGGCAGAAATTTGCAGCTCTCAGCAATCATAACTCCTGGCTGACCAGGCTCTGTGTTTATTTATCATACCTTGCAGTCCTCTGTATCTCTTTATTAATAAAATTGGTTCTGAATTGGATGCAAGTAGCCAAGTAAAGCTACTGGAGTGAAGCACAAGGCTTGGGGTGAGGATATTGAATTAGTAACATCAGAGCTGCTTGTGATTGCATGGAGACAAAGAGAGAGAGCAGGAAAAGAAAATATTTCAAACTTTTGGGAAGCTGTTAGTCTGTTTGATGACAGTATGCAAGAATTGGATCTGGGTAGTGTGGAAGAGAAGGAAAGCAGCAAGAACATCAAAAGCATCCAGGGAGATCTTTTTGCAGCCTTGCAGTACCTAAAGAGGGCTCATAAAAAGGTGTAGAATGAGTTTTTACATGGGTAGATGGTGACAGGACACAGAGAAGGGTTTTATGCTAAAAGAAGAGAGATTTAGATAAGATATTAGGGAAAATTCTTCCCTGTGAGGGTGCCCAGAGAAACTGTGGCTGCCCTTGGATCCCTGGAATTGTCCAAGGCCAGCTTGGAGCGACAGGGCTTGGAGCACCCTGGGCTAGGTTAAGATGTCCCTGCCCGTGGTGGGGGTGGGAATTAGATGATTTTTAAGGTCCATTTTGACTCAAACCATTTCAAGACTCCGTAAAAAGGAATCCTGAGTGCTTTGACCAACCTAATGCTGTTGGCAGCACATTTTCACAGAGAAGAAATCTCTGTATTTTCCTTCCTTTCAATCTGTGGTGAAAGAACAGATGTTTTTTGCTGGATGAGAAGCAGAAGCTGCTGTGATTTCTGTGTGTTGAAGGTGTTTGTTTTTGTGTGCAGGTATGAGGGCAGGTATGGGGCTGGGCCCGTGTTCCCTCCCATGGTTCAGATCTGTGTGTGGTTCAGCCGCCCTCTGGAGAAAACAAGATTTGTCACCAAATGCAAAGGTACCAATGAACTTTGCCTGACTTGATTGAAATCCAAGTTTGGGATGCTGAGGGATAGAGGGGAAGGAAGGCACTGACGTAACACAGTTATTTAATCACTACTGAAGTTAATTTTTAATTGAAAACTCAGCTTTCCTTCCTAAAAGTACAGTAAATTCTGTTCCTTAGTGTCAGCTCTGGAAAATTGTCCCATGATTTTTGTTCAGATGAAAATCTAATTGAATTTTTGGTTTCTAGGACTGAGACAACTTCCTGTCTTTGCTTTTTTATTTTATGTCTCATTGTATTTGGGAGTGTTGAAATACAGTTTTATAAGTGACCATCAGCTTCTACTTTTTATGCCAAGTAATTCTTTGTAGCTCCTAGAAAACAGACTCAGCTCTAGAGTAGATAAATTACCAAACCTTTCCTCTGCTTAGCCAAGTAGTGTTAAAGAGGATTTTACCTCCCACACACACTGTGAGAGTTCCTTATCCCAAACACACCTCATTTCCCAAACTCCATGGCAAAGAATGAGAAAATAAATGTTACATTGTGAGACTCCAAGGCACATGACAGCTTTTCCTTTGGAAGCACTGGGATGTGGATTAGGGATCAGTTGCACAGGTTTTACCAGAAGCTCCACCAAAGAGAAGAAAAATAAGTTGAGATAATCTGTTTATCTTCTGTTTCAAACAGCAATTAAGTCGTTGCTCAAGCCAAGTCCTTTTTCTGGGAACATTTATCACATCATGGGCAAAGTGAAGTTTTCAGGTAAGGGCAAATTACTCTGAGGTGTTGTGATCACACTGCACCTTATGGGTGTTTAAAAAAGTATTTCTGTCCTGGATTCTGTCTGCAGCAGTGTTGATGTTAGATTAGATTAGCAATTATCAGGCTCTTCCTTCTGTCTTCTCCTTGTTAGATGCTGATAAAGTCATTGAAGTGTGTCACAACACAGCAGCAAATTCCCTCAGCCTGGTGCCTGTTCCAGAGGGGCCAACTCCTCCTGATTCCAGAAATGATCCCAGAGACTGCAGCAGTCAACAGGAATATTTCCTTGTGTTCGTTGGCTGCTCCCTGAAGGAAGAGGATATCAAAGATTGGCTCAGAGAAACTGCAAAACAGGTTTGTGGGCAGGTTTCCTTTTGTTCTGTGCTTGGCATTTCTTAACAACCAAAGGAAAAAAATGAGTGGCTCAGTGAAATGTTTGGGTTTCTTAATTAATCTTTTTTTTTTCCTTCTACCAAGGAATTGACATTCTAGGGTGCAAATGGATTTCAGGAAGGGGACTAAGAGTTTACAAATGTGTGTTGTAATCTCTGTATTGTTTTAGTGCTTGCTACAGCTTATTCATGGATTGATTTGCTCTTGAATGCTTGAGCAAATGGATTATGTCCAGGATAAACACAGGATGATTTAGCTGAGCTGTGATTGCCAAGGGCTGAAGTGTGCTGTGAAATAAATCTTCTTCCAGTACCTGAATGCTGGCAAAGCTGAAAATTTGTTTTGATTCACTAAATTAAACCTCCTTGGAAGTAATCCACTGAAATGGAGGGTAGAGTCCTGTTCATTTTGTCATCTTTAATTAGTGTATTTCTGCATGGCTGATGTATCCATGCAATGAGGAGTGAGGAGCAGGGAATGTGGTGTTGTAGGGAGCTCAGAAGGCAGAGTTTGCACAGAGGGATTGCCACAGCTGATTGACAGAATCACAGATCCATAAAATCCTGCAATGGTTTGGGTTGGAAGGGACCTTAAATCCCATCCAGTTCCACCCCACTGCCATGAGCAGGGACACCTTCCACCATCCCAAATTGTTCCAAACCCTGTCCAACCTTGCCTTGGACACTTCCAGGGGTCCTGGGGCAGCCACAGCTTCTCTGGACAACTTTTTGGAACATTTGTAAGTTAAAATTATTTTTAATTCTATATGGATTAGGATTTGCATAATGTCTCCCTCCAAAAATTTGTGTAGGAAGGAAAAAGTGTTTCCTGCAGACTGTGGCTGGAGCAGTTGCTAAGTTTCCAAGATTTCTGAGGTTTTTGAATTTCTGAGATGCTCAGGTTCTCATCTTTTGCTCATCTGTGTTAATTCAGGGAATTAATCCATTTTCTGTGCTGATTATCTCATGCTCTGTACTTACCACAGGGGTAAAACATGGAGACAAATGCTTTGCCATGTAAGAAAGCTCTTGGTGGAATACTACCTAAATTTTATGAAAACTTGGAACTTAAATGCTTATCTCAAGTGTGAAGTGTTTCCTCTTTGAGCAATTCAGGGCTATAAACACTTTTTGTACAGTCATGGCTAATTGAGGGTTTCAGATAGCTCTAAGAGTTACCACATGCTGCACGAAAGAAAAGAATTACAGAATTTCTCAGGCTCAAAATTAAGTTGTTTTTCTGTTCCTGTGCCAGCTTTCTTACAGTAAAGCTGTATTTAAATTGTCTTGTTTAAAATACCTACAGAATTTTAAATTTCTGAGTGTTTTCTGTAAGATCAGTGAATTTTTCCTTTTGTTTTCAGAACATAGTTGTGAGTACCTTCATGGAACTGAATAATTTTAGAAATGAATTTTTTAAAACACATGTTTCTATGTGGTGGTTTGGTTTTTGGTTTTTTTTTTTGTTTTTTTTTTTTTTTAATTTATTTTTTTATTTTTTAACCAACTAAGTTGTGGTATCACATAACTGGAATCTCCTTCATACAGAAACCTCAGAGGAAAGCCCTGAAAACCAGAGGAATGTTAACCCTTCAGGAAATCAAAAACATCCACGTGAGTAAAAGCAATAATTTACAAACCCTTCCTTTGGCTGGTTTCCCTTGAATATCCATCTGGATGACAGAGCACCTGCCACAACAAGTGTGCTGAGCACTAAATTATTACAGCACTTTTGGAGCTGTCCAGGAGGGATTTGAGGTATAAATCTGATCTCAGAGCTCCAAATTCACTCTGGAAAGCAGGAGAAGGTGTAAAATTGGCCATGTTTGGTTGCTGTAATGGCCTTTTCATTTTCTTTTATCTGTTTGAGTTTGTAAGGACTGTCCCTACAGGTGTTTAATTTCAATTCTTTTCCTGCTGCAGGTGAAACGCCACTTGGATCCACTCCCAGCTGGTTATTTTTACAATGGGACTCAATTTGTGAATTTTTTTGGTGACAAAATGGATTATCATCCATGTATCCTTTAAAATGGGGGGTTTTGGGGAAGGTTTTAGGTAGGCAATGAACTGTGTAGCTCTGAAATGTTAAGTGCCAAAGCAGATATGGTAAAGAACCAGTTCCTTGCCAGCTAAAGCTTAGTTTTAAAGCCTTTCTTGAGAGATAAGATCTCAGAAACAGAATGGAACCAACAAAACAAACCCCAAACTGCCCATGAGCTCATGCAGGGAATAATTTATGGACCACAGCTTGTCAAAAAAATATTTTTCAAACCAAATAGTGCTGTAATAGCACTGAATGCCTGGGCACGACTGATAAAACTTCCAAATGAATGTAATTTCATGTGTGCACACACTCCAGTGAAAACAATCATATTTTTGTCCTTAGTTTTACCCTGGAATTCCTTGCCAAGGTTCTTCTTGTCCTTGGTCACCACCTGGGGACCTGGCTCAGTGGTGGCCATGGCAGTGCAGGGTTAACAGCTGCCCTTGGTGATCTCTGAGGGTTTTTCCAGCCTAAATGATTCTGTGATTCTCTCATTTTCATAACTTCCTTTTGCTTTTGTCTTTGGTCACCAACTTCCAAATTGGTTTTATATCCCCAGTTTAGTTTTCACAGTAACTTCTCCAAACTTGGTAAAAATCCAGATGATGCTGCTTTGGAATAAGAACAGAATTATTTCCTGTGTCTTGTGGGACAACTTGAAAATTTTAAGCAGATTTCTGTCTGCAGGACACAAAACCTGACAGCAAACTTGGACTTCACTGGAAAATTCTTGATGCCCTATCTCTGGAAATGTCCAAGGCCAGGTTGGATGGGGCTTGGAGCACCCCGGGATAGTGGGAGGTGTCTGTCCATGGCAGGGGGTGGGATGAGATGGAATTTAAGCTCCTTCCAACCCAAACCATTCCAGGACTCTTCACTCCACCTCCCCCTTGGTGTTTGGCAGGGAAAGCTGCAGGCCTGGTTAAGCCTTTCTGGAGGATTTGAGTTTTGGGCAGAGTTTTAAACTTTTAAACAGCTGGAAATGTGTTCAGAGTCCCAGAATGGTTTGGGTTGGAAGAGACCTTGAAGCTGATCTCATTCCAGCACCTTCCACGGATAGGGAGTCCAAAACTTCTTTGGGTAACCTGTGCCAGGGCCTCACCACCCTCCCTGGGAAGAATTTCTTCCTAGCATCCCATCTAACTCTGCTGTGGTTTTGCTGTTCTTAGATCTTCCTCCTGGCTGGGAAATGTCCCTTGTGCTGCTCCTTTATTCCCTGAGCTGGGGTAGCTCTGATTTCTAGAACTAGAAGTTCTAGAGAACTTCTGTAGAACTTCCAGAAAGTAATATATTGAATTTCTGCTTTCACTGAGTGTCCCAGAACTGGCACTTCCTTCAAACCTGGCTGTCCTTTTCTACTAAACTCCATTTGCACAAATGTTCTTCCTTCACCTTTCCCAACCAGTAATGGACCAGTTCATGAATGATTACTTGGAAGAAGCCAACAGGGAAATTGAGAAGTACAACAGGGAGCTGGAGGAGCAGGAGTACCACGACCTCTTTGAGCAGAAGATTTAAGCACGTGGATCCTGAGTGTTCCTGTCCTTGTGTCAGGAACCAAAAATGCTCTTTTGTCCTTCTGGCTCACAAGAAATCAAGTGAAATGTTTGTTTTCAGCACTCCTTCCCGAACTAAGGGATTGTTCCCCTGAGGTTGGCATTTAACATGGTAACTGCTTAGCTGTTTGTACTGTCAGGATTGCTTCCACTTCACCTTAATTCCAGACTGTCCAAAGCATCACCTGGAATCTCTGGCTTGTGGTGGAAACGTGGGAAAAAGAAGAAGAAGGAGGAGAAAAGAAGCAAAACTGGATTTATTTCCTAAAAAAAAGGTCAGAATGTAATTGTGGAATTGGGCCATGGTGCAGATATCAAACAATCCCTGGGTGTCCCTTGGAAATCATTGCACAGGAGCATTGATGGTCAGGGGGGAGCTCAGGGTGTGGGATTGGGGTTCCCAAAGCGAGAAATGGGGGAACAGACTCGGAAGAGTCCCCAATCCCAGAACTCTTTGGGTGTTCCTGAAGCAAAAAATGGGGGAATAATTAAAAAAAGTAAGAGAGTCCCTAATGCCACAGCTGTTGGGGTGTTCCCAAAGCGAGAAATGGGGGAACAAGGGGAACAAGTCAGAAAAGTTCCTAATCCCACAGCTCTTGGTGTGTTCCCAAAGCGAGAAATGGGGGACTACTTTCTCAGAGTCCCTAATCCCGCAGCTCTTGGTGTGTTCCCAAAGCGAGAAATGGGAGAACAATGGGAAAAATTCAGAATTGAGTCCCTAATTCCAGAGCTGTTGGGATGTTCCCAAAGCGAGAAATGGGGGAACAGTGGGGAAAACTCAGAACTAATCCCTAATCAGTCCCTAATCAGCAACTGTTGGGGTGTTCCCAAAGTGAGAAATGGGGGACTACTTTCTCAGAGTCCCTAATCCCGCAGCTCTTGGTGTGTTCCCAAAGCAAGAAATGGGGGAACAGTGGGAAAAACTCAGAATTGAGTCCCTAATTCCAGAGCTGTTGGTGTGTTCCCAAAGCAAGAAATGGGAGAATGATTCAAAACTTGGAATCCCTGAATCTGCAGCTCTTGGGATGTTCCCAAAGTGAGAAATGGGGGAACATTGGGAAGAACTCAGAATTGAGTCCCTAATCCCAGAGCTGTCAGAGCATTCCCAAAGCAAGAAATGGGGGAATGGGAAAAGCTTGGATGAGCACCTAATCCCACAGTTGTTAGGATGTTCCCAAAGTGACTGATGGGGGAACAATGGGAAAAACTCAGAATTGAGTCCCCAATCCCACAGCTCTTGGTGTGTTCCCAAAGCAAGAAATGGGGGAGTAACAGTGGGGAAAACTCTGGAGCCCCTGATCCCAGAGTTGTTGGTGTGTTCCCAAAGCAAGAAATGGGAGAATGATTCAAAACTTGGAATCCCTGAATCTGCAGCTCTTGGGATGTTCCCAAAGCGAGAAATGGGGGAACAATGGGAAAAGTTCAGAATTGAGTCCCTAATGCCAGAGCTGTTTGTGTGTTCCTAAAGCAAGAAATGGGAGAATGATTCAAAAACTTAGAATCCCTGAATTTGCAGCTCTTAGGACGTTCCCAAAGCGAGAAATGGGGGAACAGTGGGAAAAACTCAGAACTGAGTCCCTAATCCTAGAGCTGTCAGAGAGTTCCCAAAGCAAGAAATGGGGGAACAGTGGGGAAAACTCAGAATTGGGTCCCTAATCCCACAGCTGTTGTTGTGTTCCCAAAGCGAGAAATGGGGGAATAGTGGGAAAAACTCAGAACTGAGTCCCTAATCAGCAGTTATTAGGGTGTTCCCAAAGCAAGAAATGGGGGAACACTTTCTCAGAGTCCCTAATCCCACAGCTCTTGGTGTGTTCCCAAAGGAAGAAATGGGGGAACAGTGGGGATAACTCAAGAGCCCCTGATCCCAGAGCTCTTGGTGCGTTTCCAAAGCAAGAAATTGGAGAATTATTCAAAAAGTTAGAATCCCTGAATCTGCAGCTGTTGGGATGTTCCCAAAGCGAGAAATGGGGGAACAGAGGGAAAAACTCAGAATTGAGTCCCTAATCCCACAGTTTTCAGAGGATTCCCAAAGCGAGAAATGGGGGAACAATGGGAAAAATTCAGAAGTGAGTCCCTAATCCCAGAGCTGTTTGTGTGTTCCCAAAGTGAGAAATGGGGGAACACTTTCTCAGAGTCCTTAATTCCAGAGCTGTCAGGGCAATCCCAAAGGGAAAATTGTGGAAATAGTGGGAACAACTCAAAAAAGTCCCTAATCCCAGAGCTGTCAGGGTGTTCCCAGAGCGAAAAATGGGGGAACAGTGGGGAAGACTCAGAACTGAGTCCCTAATCTCACAGCTGCTGGGGCATTCCCAAAGTGAAAAATGTGGAAACAGTGGGAACAACTCAATAAAGTCCCTAATCCCAGAGTTGTCAGGGTGTTCCCAAAGCAAGAAATGGGGGAACAATGAGAAGAACTCAGAACTGAGTCCCTGGTCCCAGAGCTTTCAGAGAGTTCCCAAAGTGAGAAATGGGGGAATGGGAAAAACTCAGATGGGCACCCAATCCCACAGCTCTTGGTGTGTTCCCAAAGCAAGAAATGGGAGAATGATTAAAAAATTTAGAATCCCTGAATCTGCAGCTCTTGGGATGTTCCCAAAGCGAGAAATGGGGGAACATTGGGAAAAACTCAGAATTGAGTCCCTAATCCCAGAGCTGTCAGAGCATTCCCAAAGCGAGAAATGGGGGAACACTTTCCAGAGTCCCTAATCCCAGAGCTGTCAGGGCAATCCCAAAGGGAAAACTGTGGAAACAGTGGGAACAACTCAGTAAAGTCCCTAATCCCAGAGCTGTTGGGATGTTCCCAAAGAGAGAAATGGGGGAACAGTGGGGAAAACTTAGAATTGAGTCCCTGATCCCACAGCTGTTGTTGTGTTCTCAAAGCGAGAAATGGGGGAACACTTTCCAGAGTCCCTAATCCCAGAGCTGTCAAGGCAATCCCAAAGGGAAAACTATGGAAACAGTGGGAACAACTCAGTAAAGTCCCTAATCCCAGAGCTGTCAGGGTGTTCCCAAAGAGAGGGATGAGGGAACACTCCCACCCCCACCTTTGCCAGGGCTCAGCCCATCTCAAACCTCAGCACAGTTTGAGTCTGCACTCGAAATTCTGACTTTAAAGAAAAGCTATTTATACATTTCAGGGTGAAATCAGTGGAGAAATCTTTAATTTCTTCCCAGTGCTCTCATTGGGATTCTTGAAAATATTTCCTGGCTGGCTGCAATGTGCACCTTGCTTAGATTATCCCTGGAGGATTCCTATTGCAGTCCTAAAAATGAGGCAAGGCAAGGCAAGGGGGAGATTCTTCAGCTAAAGAATTCCTTTTCATGAAGATAAATGATTTCCAAAGGTAAAAAATAGCAAAGGATGTTACTTGAAAGAGGCAGGAACTTGTTTGTGGAGCTTCCAGAAGAGTTTGCACGCTGTAACATTTCCCTGTGCTGGTGAGAAATCAGCTTTTTAAATACTTGCAACAGAATTTTTATAGTTCCTAAATGATAGAACAGGAATGCTGGCAGCCTGTCCTGACTTAATTCAGTATCATTTTAAAGGAGGCTTTATAAATCCCTGCCTGAAGGATTCTAAAGTACCTTAGCAGCTACTTACAGGTAATTATTGGAGTTTATTTGAATAAGCAGATTATTGCAGCATGCATGTGTTCAGAATTTAGGTGAGAGCAGCCCAGCAGGAATTTTTTATTTTCATATTCCTTTGCCTTAGGGACAGCTCAATCTTTTACTGCAACTGCAGCTTTTCTTTCTGACCAGATGTTTGTGATACAGCAAGAAATGGAATGAAAAATCTCTTGCAGGACACTTAAAATAATTCAAATGTATCTGCACAGCCTCATCCCAAGGCAGGAAAATGAGATTTAACCCCTGCCATCAAACTTGAGGCTAAATTAGAGTTTATGCTTTGCTAAGAGATGTATTTTTTACCTTTGGAATATGAAATAAGTGAAATTTCAGTAACCTGAAGCACATTTTAGATGGTTTTGGTCTCCATTGCTGGATGCCTGTCCTGTGAGTGTTGCACAGTGCAGAGGTGGAATTCCAGGTGCTGCAAGCTGGGATAGAAATATTGATAAGGTTTCATTCCTTGCTTTCCTCCTAGATTTAAAAAGCTGTCTGAATTGAAGACTTTAGTATTTTATTTTTATTTTTTTTTTTTTGCACACCACGAGACTTTATATAAAAACTACTTGTATCCTGTTAGAGGCCAGTAAAAGCCAGCAATTAGTTTGTGTTTTTAGGCTTTCCTGGGGTATTCCCTGGATCACAAGTGTGGAGCATCCTGATAAAGCTCGTGAGTTTTATCTATGCATGGCTAAATTTTAGTCTTAATATCCTGTAGTGCCTGTAGAGCAAAGGTAGCTAGCAGTGGGGTTGGGGGGGCTGCCAGGGGTTTACAACTAAATCCAGTTGGTTGCATGAAATGATTTCACAGCCCAGAATTTTTTAGGAATCCCAAAATTCTGGTGGTGGTGGGGCTGCAATAAAAAGGGGCATTAGGAAATGGAGCTCCAATTGGAATTGTTTTGCCAATGAACTCAGTGTAAACCCAGCTGTTCCAGTCCCAGTTCTCTCACCTGCAAAGCCATATTTTTAGAGTAGTGGGATGTGATGTGGGAAGAAATTCCAGTGGTTGGGACAGCAGGCACGTGCTGGAGGCTTTGTCTCAACTCCTGAGTGGATACAGAGTAGATTTAAGTGCAATTGATTGAAAATAGATGAAGATGCTGTAGCTGATTTTTGCTCTGCTGAACTCTTTTTAAGAACTCCAATTTGTGCAGCTCTCAAATCAATGTGGATATGGGGCTTGATCCAGCTGGAATTCCAAGCCCTGTGAACGAAAAAGAAAAGGAAATAATTGGGTTGTGAGTGTGCAAATTGAGGTGTTCCTTAAAAACTGGAGCAGGAGAGCTCGGAACAAAGGCCTAGAACCCTCCTGTGCTGTGCTGCATGTGCTCTATGGTCATAGCTGTGTATTACAAAGACCTTTCACCAGACTGGTACTGGCTCAATTCATGTATTTTGGTATTGAAAGAAATTGATTACCTCAATTTTTATCCTTTATTTTTAAACTGTGACTTTCAACTGTTCAACCAGAACAAAATAGAAAGAAAAAAAATAAATAAAAATACCGAAATAGTGAAACTGTGACAATGGTATCCTTTAAATGTAGTAGTGCCTTGCAGATGACACCATTTATTCCCCAAATAAATGGATGTCAGGGGTTGCACCACCCCTTTCTTTTTTTTTAAAGGAAAATAACGGTTTTGGTGAAAGGACTTAAAAAAATTTAAATTTAACCTAGTGACAAATATTAGCACAAATGGTTAAACTGTTTAAAAGAAAACTCTTTGAGGACTGAAATGCCTGATGCTGCTGCTGCTGTTGAAGAGCAGTTGCTGATTTTTTGGGAGTCAATTCTAACAATCAGCAGTGCTTTTTGAATTTATTATTTTCTTTTTTTTTTAAGAAGAGTGTAATTTTTGTACTCTGGTCAGAGCTGTTTGTACTGTATGGAATCCCCAGCCCAGGGGATTTGGTGTCCTCACTCCTTGGAAGTCAGGGTGAGGATGAAACTCGAGGTTTGAACATTTTTTTCTACTGTATAATTAAAAAAAAACAACAAAAAAAAAAAGCACCATTTCTAACCCACTGATGTTTGGATACAGCAAAAGTGCCATTACACCTTTCCTTTTCTCTTTTATTGTACTTGGAAAAATTTGTGTCCAGGCATTCCTGAGCTTGGGAAGTGCTGAAGAGTCCTCAAGGGGTTTCCACGCTTTGCTGACCTTTGTTAGCAGCTTGTGGTGGTGTTTTTTAATTTCTCCTCACCGAGAATGAGTGTGATCAGAAGTTACTGAAGTTATAGGATTCAAATGTGACAAACTTAGCAGGGGAACCTTTGCAATTTGAGCTGCTCTGCAATCTGGGAGTATATTTGAATTTGACGCTGTGCAATTTGGGATTAATCCAGTTTTACACTTTGCAATTAACACACCGGATTGCAGGGAGGAGTTGAGTTGCACGTGAGGGTTCTCTTATAAGTTTAATTTTTTTTTTTAATTATTGTTATTTTTTAATTGAAACTTGTCTGAATTTGCACAGATTTAAGCTCTGGAATACTTTGGTATTCTTGAAAAGGGAAAAAAAAAATTGTGACTAGTATAGTGAATTGTGAACTGTGAGTTGGTAGAACCACAAGGTTGATCTAATCTTAGGTTGTTAAAAATGTACCTCAGAAAGCTCGTGAGAAATTGCTTCATTTTTACCCAACAGCCAGATCCTGGTGTAACACTTCTCACTTTTCAATGTGCCAAAATTCACTTTTATACTAGTTCTCAATGCTTTAATATTTGCAAGTCTAAGTGAAAAACGTGTTATTTACAAACACTACTGTAACTTCAGTTCAGCTGAATGGTGTGATTGAAGCTTTTTGCCTCTCGTATTTATTACACAACTTGATTCAGTAAATATAAAATTACCTTTCCATTTATTTTTGTATTGTTTTACATGTTTATACCTGCAGTTTGTGTGACTTTTACACCTGTAACTCAGATGTGATGGAAAGAACCAATAAACAGTATCCATCCACTGCCTGGCTTTGACTCCTTTAATAAACTCACAGGTTCCTGAACTGGAATTTTTAAACTTTGAATGGTTTTCATTTAAAAATTTTAAACTGGTAGAAAGGTGAGTTGTTTCTAAATTAAAATAAAGGTTTTATGGGATGTTTTTTTACCTGCTATTTTAATTTAGACCTTCTTGCTTGAGTTTTTAATTGGGTAAAATTCAAACTCAAAACTGCTTGAGGTTTTAATTGGGTAAAATTCAAAAAGTGAAGCTTTGACACTAATAAACTCACAGGTTCCTAAACTGGAATTTTTAAACTTTAAATGGTTTTAATTTAAAATTTTTAAACTGGTAGAAAGGTGAGTTGTTTGTATTCAAATTAAAATATAAACATTTAATGTTTTGTGAGGTATTTTTAGCTGCTATTTTAAATGTAGCCCTCGCTTGAGCTTTTAATTGGGTAAAATTCAAAAAGTCAAGCTTTGCCTCCTTTAATAAACTCACAGGTTCCTAAACTTGGAGTGGTTTTCATTTAAAATTTTTAAACTGGCAGAAAGGTGAGTTGTTTGTATTCAAATTAAAATATAAAAATTTAAGGTTTTATGGGGTATTTTTTAGCTGCTATTTTAAATTTAGACCTTCTTGCTTGAGCTTTTAATTGGGTAAAATTCAAACTCAAAACTGCTTGAGCTTTTAATTGGGTAAAATTCAAAAAGCCAGGCTTTGACTCCTTTAATAAACTCACAGGTTCCTAAACTGGAATTTTTAAATTTGGAGTTGTTTTCATTTAAAAGTTTTAAACTGGCAGAAAGGTGAGTTGTTTGTGTTCAAATTAAAATACAAAAATTTAAGGTTTTATGGGGTATTTTTTAGCTGCTATTTTAAATTTAGACCTTCTTACTTGAGCTTTTAGTTGGGTAAAATTCAAACTAGAAGAAGATTCATCTGCTTTGTGCTGCTGTCTCTGTTTTTCAGCAGCTGTGTGTGAGCATAAATTGATATTTACAGATTTACAAATACAGGGAGGTGCTAAACCTTCCTCCTTGTGCTAAACCTTCCTCCTTGTGCTCACAGAAATGAGGATGCAGCTTCAGGATCCCTGGATCTCAAATCTGGCTGCCGTGGAGAGGGCAATCCCACCTTACCCTGCTTTCCCTCAGGGGCTGAGCATCAATCCCATTTTGCTGGTTAAGCTGAGCCTGCAGCTGATTTTCTGTCTCTGTTTTACATCACTTTTGCATTTTGGGGGGAGGTTTTGTGCTCGATTTGGTTTTTATGGACACTTTATGTAAATCCAGCCTGCTTTGCATATTCCAGGTGTGCCCATCAAGCAGCAGCTTCTGGGGCGTGGATTCTGGATTGGAATCCAGGAGTTTTCCTTTGCTGTGCAGCTGGGTTTAGAAACAGCTCCCAGCTGTAAATCAGGAATTTGGGTGGCAGCAGGACCAGGGCACTGAGCTGGCACTGCTGGGGCGCCTCCAGCACTGGGGGTGGTTTTGGGGCCTGGGGAAGGGTCTGGAGCCCCAGGAGAGGCTGAGGGAGCTGGGAAGGGGCTCAGCCTGGAGAAAAGGGGATCAGGGGGGACCTTGTGGCTCTGCACAGCTCCTGACAGGAGGGGACAGCCGGGGGGGAACAGGGACAGGAGGAGAGGGAACGGCCTCAGGCTGGGCCAGGGGAGCTTTAGATTGGACATTTAGGAAAATTTCTTCATGGGAAGGGTTATTGCTCATTCCTCAGAAGCTCTCCAAGGTTACCAAGTCCAACCATTCCCCCAGCACTGCCAGGGCCACCACTCACCCGTGTCCGCAAGTGCCACATCCACATGGCTTTTAAATCCCTCCAGGGATGGGGATTCCACCACTGCCAAAGCTGGACACCCTTTCCATGAAAAAAAAAAGGGAAGTTAAAAATGCTTTTAGAGGCTTTAAATGATGGAGAACTATCTGAGTTTCATTTCCTAACAGAGATGAGGTAGATTTTCCTGAGCACACCCCAAATCAGGGTTTTTTGTCCTGTTTCTTGCTTTTAATTATCTAATTTTGGTCAGTCTGGTTGTATCTGGAGAGGTTTTCAACTCCACTTGGCTTTTCATGAGCTCCTCTTCCTTCCATGTGAACTCATATGAAATTTCTTTGCCTACGTGTCCACCAACAAATGGTTCCTCTTTAGCTTCATAAATTACCAGCCTAATTAAAGGAATGAATTCCCAACAGGAATTGCATGGAAATGGGAGCACTTGTTAATTGAATAGCCCTGGGTTAGGCTCCCATTGTACACGTCCCACAAGGTGATCCCTCCTATTGAATTGGCTTAAAATAAACCTTCGGGGCAGTTTGATGTCTTGGTAGGAAAGAAAACACCCAACAGGCAAGGCCTGGAGGATTTCAATAGCTTGACTGCTCCAGGACAGTCAGAAAAACAACCAAAAAAAAAGCATGGAAATTAAAATGTGGGTGACCCATTCATGGCTAGGAATTCAGCAGGCACACAATGCATTGTATAGATCACTACAAAACCTCCCCACACAAGTGAAACAGGAAATTTCTAATGGTTCCAATTGAGCCCTCGCTCAACCCCACCAAAAATCTTCCATTTTTCTGTGTTATCAAAGTTGGTTCAATATTTGCTTTATATACATCCTGTTCCGGACTTTGATTCCTCTATACAGCACCTTCCTGCCTTCTAATATCTGATTTATTGCTGAGTCCTTGTTCTTCCAAAGGTTTGGCTTGGCCTGCTTTAACTCTTTATCTTGTCAGCCTGGGCCACAGCCTTTACTTGGGCCTCTCCTTGCTTTGGGAACTCTGGAGAAAGGATAAAAGAGGAGATGGAAAAGAAGGAAAGGCTACAGAGGCTGTTGGGAAAAGTCACAGGATTTTTGGGCAGAAATCTGGGATATCCAAGGTGCTCGAGTGCATCAAACCAAAAGCTGAGACCTTAAAGATCATCCAGTTCCTGGGCCATCATCCCCGATGGATCCAACACCTTCCATCATCCCAGATGGATCCAACCTGGCCTTGGACACTGCCAGGGATCCAGGGCAGCCACAGCTGCTCTGGGCACCCTGTGCCAGGGCTCACCACCCTCACAAGGAAGGATTCCTTCCTAATATCCCATCCATCCCTGCCCTCTGGCAGTGGGAGCCATTCCCTGTGTCCTGTCCCTCCATCCCTTGTCCCCAGTCCCTCTCCAGCTTTCCTGGAGCCCTTTCAGGCCCTGGAAGGTGTTTGAAGGTGTCCCCAAACCCCTTTAGGCCCTGGAAGGTGTTTGAAGGTGTCCCCAGGCCCTGGAAGATGTTTGAAGGTGTCCCCAGACTCTTTAGACCCTGGAAGATGTTTGAATGTGTCCCCAAACCCTTCAGGCTCTGGGAGGTGTTTGAAGGTGTCCTCAGAGCCTTCAGATCCTGGAGGGTGTTTGAAGGTGTCCCCAGAGCCTTCATCAGGCCTTGGAAGGTGTTTGAAGGTGTCTCCAGATCCTTTAGACCCTGGAAGGTATTTGAAGGTGTCCCCAGACCCTCCTTCAGGCCCTGGGAAGTGTTTGAAGGTGTCCCCAGACCCTTCACCAGGACCTGGATCCTTCCCACCCTCTCCCAGCTGTGGTGCTGGGTTGGGATCCCTGCCCTCCCCGTGCTCTGGGGTTTTTGCCCATCCCAGGGGAATGAGGAGGAAGTTCCCTGCTCCAGGTCAGTGTGGATGTCACCAGCCCTCAGGGAAGGTCCCAGAGGCAGGCTGGATGCTGAAGACTCCTGAAGATGTGTTTCCTGTGCAACAATGGGGAATTCTCTTCCATTTCCCTGTGGAACCTCTTGAGGTAAGAGCTGAAGTTCCTCCTGTCCCAGCAGACACATCCCTGCTCCCTTTGCTGGCCCAAAGGAGACACAAGGACAGAATTGCAAATTGTGGTGGCTCCTAAATGCCTTGAGCTGTCAGAGCTGACCTGCCCCATTCACTGTGCTCCATCCTGGATGGACCATGGGATTATAGGACACAGGGAATGGTTCCCACTGCCAGAGAGCAGGGATGGATGGGAGATTGGGAAGGAATTGTTCCCTCTGAGGGTGCTGAGCCCTGGCACAGGGTGCCCAGAGAAGCTGTGGCTGCCCCTGGATCCCTGGCAGTGCCCAAGGCCAGGTTGGAGCAACGTGGGACAATGGAAGGTGTCCCTGTCCATGGCAGGGGGTGGAATGAGATGACTTTAATGTCCCTTCCAACCAAACACATTCCATGATTTCCTGCAACTTCCTTTCTTCTGAAGATGGAGTAAAACATCTCCCAGAATGATACAATTTTCCCCTAAAATCTCAGGGCTCTGACAGGGCTCTGCTGTCCCCTGCCCTATCCCTGGCTGTGGGATGTGGTCATGACAGAGCAGGGCTGTTGAGAGATTTCTCTTCTCAAAGGCAAGGCTTGGAGTGTGCTGCAGATTAAAATCACTGCTGCAAAGTCAATGGAACACAAATGTTTTGGGCTTGGCTGGCTTTGGGAAGGGTGTCCCTTCCTCTGGCCGCTGTTTGTTTGCTTAGGTGAGGTGGGTGCAAGTTCTAACAATAAACTTTCCTGGGAACACCATGGGAGAGGCCAGGGAAAAAGGAGAAACCAGGAGCAGGCGTGGATTGGGATCCTGGGAGGGATGTGAAAGGATGGAGTGAGCACAGGAGGAGTTGGGATGTGCTCCTTGCTGTGTTTGCCTCATCCTCCTCACAGGCTGAGAGGATGATCCCTTTGGGCCTTGTGTCCTTTCAGCCCCTCCTGCCAAGGTAAATCATTAAAGGGGTTAAATCAGTGTGGGGTGAGAGAAGGGAAAAACAAAACAACAAAACAAAACAACAAAAAAAGCATGGAAATTAAAATGTGGGTGACCCATTCATGGCTAGGAATTCAGCAATGCATTGTGTAGATCACTGCAAATCCTCCCCACACGAGTGAAACAGGAAATTTCTGATGGTTCCAATGGAGCCCTCGCTCAACCAAAAATCACCAAAAATCTTCCATTTTTCTGTGTTATCAAAGTTAGTTCAGTATT